TATATATTAAATTTTTTCTTTCATGGAATGGGCTTCAGGTATTATACATAAGAACTTTCAACCAAGCCCCAAGTCCTAGAGATTTTCTTGTATCTCATAGTCTACAGTTTTAAGTTTTACTTTTACATTGAAATGTCTGATCCATTTTGAGCTCAATTTTATATCAGAGTTGAAGCTCGAGCTCTCTCCATCCTCCCTTATTTCCTCTTTCCTTTATCTTTGTTATAATAGCAGATAGTGTTATTATAGTTCCAATTTTTCCCTTTCAATTTCACTCTCATTGATACTGTACAGAAATTTAAAGCCAAGTATGGTGGTGCAGGCCTATAATCCCAGCACTTGGGAGGGTGAGGCAGGAGGATCGCCGTGAGTTCGAGACCAGCCTGGGCTACAAAGTGAACTCAAGGCCAGCCTGAACTGCATAGTGAGACCCTGTCTCAAAAAAAAAAAAAAAAAAATTGAGTCTTATGAGTTTATTATCTGTAACGTAGACTTAGTGTGAGAAGCAGGAAGCGCTGGCTGTTTGGTGGGGATAGTAGTATTGATTAAAGGACGTGTTATATATAGACCATCACATCATCTGCTAAAAAAAATCACTTTTCTTTCTTTTTATTTTAATTCTATTTTAGTGGTGTATTTTATTTTATTTTATTCTAGGTACCAGGGATCAAACTCATGACCTGGCACTTGCCAGGCAGGCACTTATGCTTCTGAACTAACTCTCTGGCCCTTGGTGTATTTTAGAAATATATAATGATCAGATTCATCACAGTGATTTTTGTACCTGTACTTGATATCTTGCTTCTTTTCTTCCCGTTCCCCTTCCCTTCCTTCAACTCCTCTTCCCCTCCTTATTTATAAAAGCTTTCTTTCCATGTTTGTCTTCTACTCTGTTTTTCTGTTATTTCTTCCTTCCCAGTTGAGGCTCCTTTCATCTCTTCCTCTTGCTCAGTGGCCCCAGCAGGAGCCGCCGGGTCTGTGCCCACTGACACGGGGCAATGGACACGCTTGCTTTCTTCATGTCTTAAAGTAGTCAACTACTCAAGGTTGTGTACGTTTCCCACCGGACCCCAGTGGCCCTTTTAGACTGAATTGTCATCGATGGAAGAACAGGCCCTCCGAATTGAGTTTGTCCCATTTTCCTTTTCACCCCTTTTTACAAAGGGGGATGGCAGCTCTGGCATCTTCACAGCAGCACCTGTACTTATGGAGGGAGGCTGTATGTTGTCACAGACTTATAAATGTAAGGCACTGAGTGCTTTCTTCTCTTCAGGGCTAGTTTATTGATTTCAAAGCCATTCATGAGCCCACATGAATAAGAGGTTGCATAACTTGTTATGCTGAATACAAAAAAATTCAGAAAGGGAAGGGAAAAAGTATATGATATGTTATGCAGCGATCCCCCAGGATGAATGCTTGTATTATGTACCAAAATGTACACTAACAAAAAAAGTTAAATAAAAAAAATAATTTAGGGGCTGGAGGTTTAGCTCAGCGGCCTAAGCACCTGCCTTGCAAGCAGGCAGTCCTGAGTTCGATCCCCAGTACCGATAAAAAGGAAAAAGACAAAAAAAAAAAAAAAAAAAAAATTTAAACACCTCAGAATAGTGGGTCATAGTGGCGTACGCTTGTTAATCCCAGCACTTGGGAGGCTGAGGCAGGAGGATTGTTGCAAGTTCAAGACCAGCCTGGGCTACAAAGTGAGCCTAAGGCCAGCTTGAACACATAGACCCTGTCTCAAGAAGTCAAAAAATAAAACAAAAGCAAAAACAAAAACAACTGAGAAGCAAACACAGTGGCACCCATGTGGTCCCAGCTACATAGAAGGATAAGGCAAGATGATCAAGTGAGCCCAGGTGCTTACGGCTATCGTGAGTAACACAGCAAGATCCTGTTTCTGAAGAACAAAAATAAATTTAAAAACAACTAAAAGAGAAAAAAATCTCTTTAAAAAATTTTTTTTTCTCTTTTTCTTTTTTATCGGTACCGGGGATCGAACTCACGATAGCCTGCTTGCAAGGCAGGTGCTTATGCCACTGAGCTAAATCCCCAGTCCCTGAGAAAAAAATTTCTGTGAGGGGCTGGGGATATAACTCAATGGCACAAGGGCCTGTCCTGAGTTCGATTCCCAGTACCAAAAAAAAAAAAACAGAATTTCTTCTAGGAAAAAGCTCTGCGGCTGATTAAATATTTGTTTACTCAGAACTGGATCAGCCATGTGAAGAGGGGGGACAGCCTGTTTCCTGGGCTCCTACAGAGCTGGCTTGTTGCCCTTTCTTGAGCTTCAGCCTCCGGGTTTCTAAGAGAGATAAGAACTCCTAATTTCTCTGTGAGGATAAACAAGGCCACAGGAAAAGTAAAAACATCTTGCCCAGCCCCCACGCACATCAGCCCTCAGGAGAACAGCCTGTTTCTCTTCTCTTTCACAGTTCCCAGGGCTGAAAAAAGTGGCCTCTCTCAGGGTAGTAGCCGTGGGGGTGGGGGGAGGGGATGGCCACCTCTGCAGGCCTCTCTTATGCCAGTAAACACATTCCTCCAAGTGGACCTTGATGAGCACAGGCCAGCCGGCTTTATCCACCCAGGAATGACGTCACCATGGCAACCGCCATTGTTCAGAAACATACACTCTAGGTTCCTTTAACTGAGACTGCAAAATCCCTACTTACAGGACCCATGTTCCTTCCAGTAGGCTGCTAGGAGGTAGCCCTGTCAATAGGAAAGAGAAAAATTAGTATATATAACCTATACTCTCAAAATAATGTCAGTTAGAAAACCCAAAACAGCCAGCTGAAATTTTCAGAATGTAATCAACCCCATCCAACTACCTCCCAGATTTGACCCTGCCTAAAGGACTCCTCATAATTGGCGCAGCTCAAGCCAGGAAGAAACATTTTTAAAAATAATAATTACCATTTTGCTGCCATGGTAATGGGTGTTGCTAGGAAACAGTGGGAGTCAGAGAGGGGCAGATTCAACAAAGCACTGTGTCTTAAACTAAGAGCAACCATTCTGGACTCACTGGTAACGTATTTGTGTGGCAGAAGACAGGAAAGAAATCCAACTAAAATTTAGGGGGCCTCTCTCTCCGTGCAATTTCTAGGAGTCCTGTGCAGAAATGCAAGAGTACCCCATTAACATGAAGAATAATTAGCTGCACTCAACCCCTCCTGCAACCAATAGCACAAGGTCTAATGGGCCTGTTTGGACTTATGAGGTGTGACTCCACCTCCTTTAAGCAGTGAGTTAAGCCAAAGCAAGAGAAGCCTGAGGAACAGATCCAGGCTGTCCTGCAAGTTGCTCTGCCACTTGGCCATATGATCCAGCAGATTCAATGGCATTTGGGGTGGCAGTGGCAGATAGGGTGGTATTTGGAGCCTCTGTTAGGGCCCCACAGAGACACCCAAGTAGATGCCATTAGGATTTGGGAGCGTGGCTCTGCCATCATCGGCAAACAACTCTGTCTAAGAGGAACAGCTCCTGGCCTGCTGTGGGCCTTCATAGGAACTGAATGCTTGGTCGTGTAACTCCCAGTTACCATGCAGCCTCAACTGCCCATGTTGATCTATTCAACATTCCAAGCCTAGAGGCCAATGACTTTTTTTTTTTTTTCTTCTTGAGTTGTGTCCTATGATAGGCTGAGAGAGGAAGAGAATAGACGCTGGTGTACTTACGATCAACATGCTATATGGGCACCTTCTGAAAGTGAACAGCTGCAGCTCTATAGCTTGCAGGACAGTGGTAAACAAATATTTCTGCAGTGGCCAGATGTCAGTCAGTGCACCCGGTCACATATTTTGTTTGGATGAGACTGACTGTGACCTTTACAAACCTTTAGAGGTGTTTTGCTTTGTTTTGTTTTTACTGGTACCAGGGATCGAACTCATAACTGCACGCTTGCAAGGTAGGCGCTTATGCCGCTGAGCTAAATCCCCAACTCTGTTGTGATCCTAAATGGTGATTGTCAATTTAACTGGATTAAGAAACACCTAGCAAATTACTAAAGCACACCCTGGGTGTCTGTGGGTGTTGTCAGAGAGGATGGTGCACAGCCCAGCAAACTGAGGAGAGAAGCCTCCACCTGTCTGTGAGTTGCACCGTCTGGTAGGCTTGCAGTCTAGACAGAAAAATAGGGCAAGGAGGCAGGTGGACGGCATCCTGCATGGGAAAAGCACCATTCTGCTTGAGCAGGTGTGTCTTGCTTCACCATCGCCTCTGGACACCAGATTCCAGTTTCCTGGCCTATCAATGTGGACTCAACCCTGGAGCTCTCCATAGCGCTTCCAGACCTCCGTTTCAGACTGGTGATGCATCCATCCTTCTTCATCTTTTTTGTTCTGTGGCTTTCAACTTTTTGGACCGCGCAGCTCCTGGATTTTCTGGCTATGTAGACGCACACATACATTGTGTACTATCCTGCCTCTCGTCAAATTCCCTGGCATATATTTTTTCTATTGGTTGATCGTGGAACTCCCAGTTACCATGGGAGCTTACCATGGAAAGCTACAAGCAATATGCTTGGTAAGTTTATTGTGGAATTAACAATGACATCAAATTGAAAGTGCTTGCAAAGCACCGCTTATGTGATTATTAGTTTCCATCACTCCAGCTGCTTTCATGGAGGAGAAATTGTGCCTTCTCAGGCTTAAATCCTGTCTCTAACTCTTAACAGCTAATTAGAGACAAGAGTGTTCAGTTATCTCCACCTATCAAATTCTACCTAAATCTCTAACCCTGGTTCTCTCAGCCTAAAGAAACGCCCGGGGGCGATCCCAGCGCTGCCATTTAGTTATTACACAATGGGACAGTCAGTTTTCTCCTGGCTGCCTCGGCTGCCATTTTAGGAATAAGAACAGCGCAACAGTTTGAATAAAAAATGTCCCCCAAAGCTCATGCGTTCGGAGGTTGGGTTTTAAAACAGGTGACGAACAGCAAAGAAAGCTGATCTCACAGCCTCCGGCTAGGCTCCAGGGCGGGGCCAGAGACGGAAGTAGGTCACTGGGGGCGTGGCTTGAAGGGGGCGTGGCTCCTGCCTCTTCCTCTCGCGCGGCTTCCTGTCTGTCCGGGCTCGGAGCGGTTCTGCTCGCCATATTGTTTGCTTTCCAGTCAGCGGAGCACGAAGCGAAACCGTGAGTCAACATAAACCTCTCCTGCCTCGGGTTGTCCCTGTCAGGTGTACCTCGCCACGCCATGTCCTCAGTTGCGATAGTGGCCCTGGCAGCCCCGTTCCCTGCCACTCCCTCTCTTGTTTGCATCCAACCCCGGGGGGCTTCGAGGGCTCGCTCGGTCCCCGCCCAGTGTCCACTCGTTCCTGGTCCAAGACCGGGAGAGTCCGCTCCTTCGGCCCCACCCCATGGTCGGCTTGTGCGGGCGCCTAGTCAGCCGGGGGGGCGGTGGTGGCGATGGGGACTGGCGGCCCGGGCCGGGTGGGGGCGCGGCGGGGGGGCGGCGGGAGGGCGGCGCCTCCTCTCCTGAGCCCACGACCCCTCCTCTCGTCCCTCCTCGCCCCCTCTTCCCAGCCTCGTCCCCTCCTCTCCTCACCGCTCCTGTTCTCTTCGCTTTTCCCTTCCCGCCAGCGGACCCGGGGACACCGAGGCCGAGTCCCGCCTCACCTGTCGCGGAGGAGGCCCCGGGGCGCAGGCGGAGGCGGAGGCCGGCAGCATCCAGCCCGCCCGGTCGCCGCTGGAAAGCGCTGGGTCTGGCCCTGGGGTGACGTCGCAATCATCCTCGAGGTCCCCGGGGGACCCTGTCCCCGGAGCCCAGTGCGCACAACGGTGGATTATTTGGAGAAAAACGCCCACCCCGAACTCCATCCGGCTGAGGCCGGGTCACCCGGTCCCCGGGGGCTTTTATAAAACAGTCGAGGGAAGGCGACACGAAAATCGGTGCTAGGCGAGCATTTTTACCACCGAGTTACACACAGGCCCTTTTACGTACATTTTCAAATTTATTATGTGTGTTTGTTTCTTTTCCGAGATTGAACTCAGGACCTTTGCATTGAGCTGTATCCCCAACCCTTTGTACTTTTTTGAGGCAGGCTCAGTCAGGCTCTTTTGCCCTGACAGGCTGGAATATGCAACCCTCCTGCTTCACCCACCTAGAGTGCAGGGATTAAGGACCTATCACACTATATCGGGGTCAATTTATGTTCTTAAAACATAGGTAGAGAATTACCAGGATGGGCCAAGAAGAGAGTCTGGCAGCTGGAGGAAATGGGAAACCCAGAATTGGGAACTGATGGCCTGAATTTAAAGGGTGACAGTAGGGAGAGAAGTGGAAATACCTGAAATCAAGTCTGGAGAGGTGAAATGATTCCATGATGGACTGAACAGTGAAGGATAGAGAGAAATGGAAGTTCCTGAGTGGTTGGTAGAGCTATGCACACGAATGAAGAAACTAGCAGGAAAATAGGTTTGGGAAGGGGTGTGTTTTGCTGGGACAGGGGGGTCTTAGGTGTGAAATCATTGTCCAGACAGGGTACTCAGGCTCAGGATAAACATGGGCTGAAAGAGAATTTGCGGCACAAAGCTGGTATTCACAGCACTAAGAATGAAAGGCAGTGGCCAAGGGTATATAACTCATGTGAGAGGCTGTGAGTTCGATTCCATCACTTAAGGTTAAAGAGAAAAGAGGACTGAGACAGTGCGCTAGGGGCCTGGAAACACCTATGCTTAGAGACTTAAGAGAAAGAAGGAGGACCTGCCTAGGAGATAGGATTGGCCAGAGATGTAGGAAACAAAGAAAGACCTAAGAAAGGACATTGTTTCAAGCCTTCAATTATGCCAGAATTATCTGAGAGAACAGCACACACATAGCCCCATTGGAGGAAGTGCGTGTGAACATGGCACAGCAGTGTCAGTGGGATTGGGCAGATGACGAAGCTGTCGTGGAGGCAGTACGTGTGGACAGGTCTCTCCAGAGGATGGCTGATGGTGACATGGCACAGGAGCAGTGGTTAGAGGAGCGAGTACAGGGATTTGTGTACTGTTGATGCACAGCCCCTCATTTGTACTTTTAGGAATGAAATAATAGTGACAGGTCAAGGATCTCAGAAGAGCTGGATGTGGTGACACACTTCTGTAATCCCAGCTACATAAGAGGCCAAGACAACAGGATAGAAAGCTCAAGGCCAGCCTGGATATCAGCGAGTTCCCAACTCAAGAAAATGAAAATAATGAGGCTGGGGACTTGGCCCAGTGGTAGAGTGTTTGCCTAGCATGGGCCAGAAAGCCTATACCGACCAGAGAGACAGAAATTGAGGAAAAAGCTAAAACTATAGCCAGTTATCTGTAGTTTATAAGGCTTTCAGTTTTGTAATCTTTTGTCTGTTTTCTCAGGCTCTTTGACTACCTTTAGTATTTTGTTTTTTTAACCAAGCTCCTTAAAACTCCACTGACCATGCCAGCTTGCTGTGATGGGATAAGACTGTTGGCCCTCATTCAGAAACCTATTAGAAAGTAGAAAGAAATGCAGAAAAATTATAATTTCACATGTGTAGGCTTATAACCCAGTCTTAAGTTAGAGCTTTGAGTTCCTTTATGTTTTTTTGTAGGTAGTCTAGGAATATAATTGAAAGGATTTTCCCCTTCAATATCATAATTGCTGAGATGAATGCCATGACACTTGAATAATTCCTATCAATATTACTTTAATGTCACAGTTGAACTCTTTGTTCTCAGATATATCTTAAGTTATTCAAGAAGTGACAGTTCTGGGGCTGGGATTTAGCTCGGGGGCATAAGCGCCTGCCTTGCAAGCAGGTGGTCGTGAGTTCGAAGGAAAAAGACCAAAAGGAAAAAAAAGTGACAGTTCTGTACAGAGGCCTGAAGGCTTGGCTTTAACTACGGAATTGCAACTTAATTGGTTAAGCTATTTAGGAAAGAAGTAAGTATGCAAAAAGACTGTCCTGGAGGGGAATTTGTTACCATGGCACTTAACCTTAGGGACATTCAAAGCATCTTCTCTTAAAGTCCCCTCTGCCTTTGATCCTCTGGTTGAGCACTGATGTGTTTAACAAAGTACCTGAGCTACCAGAGGTCTTACACCATGACTGCTGCTCAGCTGGTAAAACAGATTAAAGAGTTCAGTGGCAGCCACACTACATAGATGATGAATATTAATATTGAATAGTTACAAGCTCTTTCATACAAAATTTAATGCAACATTCCAGCATTCTGGGAGCACTGAGAAAAGGTCCTAAGAGTGTATTGTGATGACTTTGATTTCCGTGGTAAACACATTCATAGCTTCCATCTTAGCTCGAGTCATAGGCTGTGGAGGTCAGTTATAAAGTCAGACATTTGCTTTGCTATAGGGTAACACCACAATGAATGTGCCTGCTCTGAAGTGTTCCTGTTAAGGTGCACAGATACCTTTTCAGTCTTCCCACAGTGTTCGAATGCATGGTTCTTCAGTAGTGGATACAAGACAGTTTCACAGATGCTCCTGATGGGGGTGGGGGTGATTGCTTGCTGGGAATTGAGTTCAGGACTTTTGCACTGAGCCACATCCCTCTCTTCCGCTCATTTTTAATTTTAAGACAGGTTCTCACTAAGTTTCTGAGGCTAGACTTGAATGTGGAATTTTCCTGCCTCAGTCTCCCAGAGTGCTGAGATTACAGGTCTGAGCCACCAGGCCCAACTAAATTCCTGATTTCTTGAGATGATGTTTTGCATTTTATTAGTTCAATAAGAATTTATCGTTTTCTATAACACCAGCTTCTTGTTACACCCTTTATACTAAGGCTTCTGGGAACTTGCAAACCTAATGAACAAAACTTATTACCGTAGCAAAGCATTAGGGAGATAATGGCTTTTATCACTCCCAAGCCCACTAACTATTGTAAAATTGCAAACCTATTAGGAATGCTGCACAGGAGAAACTACAATTTCCCATGGTTTCTTTTTTTAATCTCTATTTTAACAAATACCTTCTCAGAAAAAAAATACATGCTGTGCATAACCACTTCATGGTTTGGAACTCAGGAAGTATGACCTTAATCCAGAACCATCATCTAAAGTCTGGTCCTTAGGGTCCATCTAGTCAGGATTGATGAGCCCTGTTGAACTGCTGTTCTGTTTTTGAAAAGAGCCCTTTCTTAAATGACATGAGCATTTTGTTGATGAGTCCAAAGCCACTGTTTCTTTTGTACAATGTTTCTACTTAGATTTGTCCAGTTGGTTTCTTGTATTTAGGCTGTATGGGTTACATCTTACACTGTCTTTTTTTTTTTTTTTTTTAGACAGAATGGGTACTGGGAATATATTGAGTCAGAGTAGTGATAAACTAGATGTGGTGATACTTACCTATAGTCCTAGGACTTTGAGAGGCTGTATGAGGAGGACCCCAAGTTTGAGCCAACCTGGGGAATTTACCAATTTAGTAAGGCCTTGTCAAAAGGGTTTGGGGATATAGCTCAGTGTGAAGGCCTTGGGTCACTTCTCAGTATCTATCTCTGTGTTGTGTGTAGTCTCTCTCTCTCTCTCTCTCTCTCTCTCTCTCTCTCTCTCTGTCATACACAAACATAGGAGAGAGCAGCAGGAGGTATACTGTAAACTTCCCTGGATCCATGTGCTGTGCACCTCCCCCGCCCAACTCCTTTTTGCCTCCGAGGCCCTGTAGTCCAGGGTCAGAGTGAGCCTCTCTTCTGCAGGTCTGCTTTGTGATCTGCCTGCCTCATTGCTGGCCTGCTGCCAACTGCCTGCCTCCATCAGGGACCCTGACCATCTCCTCCCCTGTGATCTGATCTGTGGTCAGGATGAGTTCCTCCCCTTCAGAAGAGGCAAGTGCCTGGAGTTCCCTTCACTCTGACGAGCCCAGTGACTCCATCTACCGGTTTGTCTACACCTGCACTGAGTGCAAGGAACAAGTGGACACACACTGGCGCTGCACAGTCTGCCAGGTAGGCACCAGGTTCCAGGAAGGAGGGGGCAGGCCCAGGGGATCTCCATCATCTGAAGGGTGACACACCAACATGTCATACAGGCCACTGAGACGAAACAGCTTGGTCTTACGTTGAGTGGCAGAGTTGAAGATGCTACTTTTGTTCTGTTAAAAGGAGATTTCTCAGCCCAGCGTGGTTGTACTTGCCTGTTCCCCCAGCACACAATTGGTTGAAGCAGAAAGATCTTGACTTTGAGGCTAGCCTGGGCTACAGGGTGAAAACCTCTATCCAAAAAAAGGCCACATTCCTAACCCAACCTTTGGAATGAGGAGGTTTTGAGAGTTACCTGTGTCACCTGTCTTGTTCCACAGGAGTATATCCTGTGTGTCTCCTGCTATCCCAAGAACAGCCATGACCACCCGATGGAGAAACTGGGTCTTGGCCTGGATGATGAGAGCAGCAAGGAGCTGGGTGGGGCCTCGCAGAACCCAGGAGAGTCTTGCTGCCTGAGCATCCAGCGCAACATCCAGTCCCTGCTCCACGCCTGCCAGTGCCGCAACACCAACTGCTCCCTGCCCTCCTGCAAGAAGATGAAGCGGGTCATCCAGCACACCAAGGGCTGCAAGCGGAAGAACAGCGCTGGGTGCGCCGTCTGCAAGCAGCTTGTTGCCCTCTGCTGGTACCATGCCAGGAACTGCCCAGAAGACAACAGGTGCTTCGTGCCCTACTGCTTTACCATCAAGCAGAAGCTCCAGCAGCCGCAGCTGCAGCTCCGCATCCAGCAGGCCCTGATGCTGCGCAGGATGACAGCCAGCACTGATCCAGACCCTCTGGTCCCCTGCGATCTGAATGACGCTCAGGAGGTGGGGATGAGCACCCGAGGCTTTCATGCCGAGCCCAATGGCCCACCCGCTGTGTTGCGGAGGAGCAGCACCCGCAATGTCCCCTACACCTGTAACGAGTGCAGACAGGACGTGGAGACTCGCTGGCGCTGCACTGTCTGTGAGGTAGGTGGCTCATCAGAGAAAAGCGGTGGTGGACCTGGGAGTCTGGGGCCATGTGATGCGTCAACAGTCCAGTATGATGGTGGCTGATGGGAGGGAGAGTTACCTGTGTGTCTCCTGCTATCCCAAGAACAGCCATGACCACCTGATGAGGAAACTGGGTCTTGGCCTGGATGATGAGAGCAGCAAGGAGCTGGGTGGGGCCTCACAGAACCCAGGAGAGTCCTCTCTCCTTAACGTGTTTGAGTTCTAGAGCGGGACAGGCTAGTCAAAGCTTTCAAACAGCGCTTTTTCACCAGGAATGGTGGTTAACACCTGAAATCCCAGCACTCAGGAGGCTCAGGCAGGAGGATCATTGTGAGTTTGAGGCCAGTCTGGGCTACATAATGAGTTCAAGGCCAAAAATGCATAACGAAACCTTGTCTCAAAAAACGAAGCAACAAAAGAAAAGCACTTTCTTTCACGCAGAGTCTTTAAAATGCTTTTCGTGGGGCTGGGGATTTAGCTCAGCGGCATAAGCGCCTGCCTTGCAAGCAGGCAGTTGTGAGTTCGATCCCTGGTACCGATAAAAAAGAAAAAGACAAAAAAAAAAAAAAAAAATGCTTTTCGTGATTAAGTCTTGAGAGTTGACCTATGGTTCCGTGTTCTTTCCCCAGGAGTATGTCTTGTGTGTCCCCTGCTATCACACTAAAAACCACAACCACAAGATGGAGAAAGTAGGTCCTGGCATAGATGGTGAGAGCAGCAACCAGCAGGCTGGGGCCATCCAGAACCCGAGAGACATCCACCGCCAGAGGATCCAGCGCAGCATCCAGTCCCTGATCCATGCCCGCCAGTGCCGCGATGGCAGCTGCTCCCTGCCAACCTGCAAGAAGATGAAGAGAGTTGTAGAGCATACCAAAAACTGCAGGCGAAAGGCGATTGGTGGGTGCCCCGTCTGTAGGCAGCTCATTGCCCTCTGCTGCTACCATGCCAAGCGGTGCCAGGAGAACAACTGTCCTGTGCCGTTCTGCTTCAGAATCAAGCAAAAGCTTCGGCAACAGCGGCTGCAGCGCCAGCGGTCCAGGATGGTGCGCAGGAGGATGGCCAGCATGTAGCTTCCCCGGGTAGTGGGCCAGCAACAGGGCCTGCCCTCCCCAACCCCTGCCTCTCCACCCACTCCACCCTCGCCAACCACAAAACAGCAAAAACCCCATAGATGCCCATCTCACCCCTTCCAGAAACATCCTGGTGACCCTGCAAGCTCTACACAGACTGCTTAGCCACCCCTGCCAGGGTCCCATCTACAGCAGCAGGAATGGCAGCACAGATTCAGAGAGCAGCCAAGACACTGTGTAAATTATACAGAGGCCAGTGTAGCACCAGGTGCCCCAGGTGACGCACCCATGGGTATAATCCACTCCCAAACCCACCCCACCCCCAACCAAAAGTCCCAGGGGGCATCTGGAGCCCAGGGATGGGGCCCAGAGTGATGGAGCAGCAGCTCCTCTGGGCCCAAGGAGGACTGCCTCAGCCCTAGCAGCTCCAGTGTGGGGTGCCAAAGCTGGCTGTGATGTCAGTGGCCCCACAGCCAATGGGCCAGCCAGGCCCTGTCTCAATAAGCCTTATAAAAGCTGCAGACTCTTGGGCCTCCTTGTGCTCCCCTACAGCAGCAACCCTTGTGCCCACCCCCAAGCTGTTGGGTGCGTTCATACAACATCAGGCTGCCAAGTGTACCAGTGCATCCCCAGCTTCTCACTGGACAGCCTGGCATGGGCCAGGGACAGCCAAGGCTGCAGCCACCAGCCATGCAGAGGGTCCACTCCAATGAAGCCACACAGAACACGGATGCCACACAGGTAGGCGTGCAGAGGGCTGGCCTGGCCCAGCAGCAGCTCCAGGTGCCTATGGGAGGGATGAGTCCCTAGGCACAGCCAGTGAACATGAATCTGGGCAGTGTGTCTTCCCAGTTCTGGGACATGACACTACAGCAAGAGATGCAACAGTACATGCAACAAAGGAATGTGGGACAGATGGACCAGCTCTCCCAGCCCTTGGGAGCAGGAGCCAGTCTGCAGGCCTGTCAACGACTCCTCCAGCAGCAGGTGGGATCCCCTGCTTAGTCCAACCTTAAGAACCCTCAAAGCAGGCCCACCCTCTAGCCTTCCAAGGCAATCCCGTTTTCTTCCTAATATAGTGTGTTCCCCCATCCTGTCCCTTCTCCATGGCTGTGGTGCCAGCCCCACCCCTGAGGATGCAGCCTCAGCCTTCTCCATATCCATACTGTGTTTCCCTACAGAACTGTCCCCCACATTCTGGACTGGCTGCTGCCCAGACTGCCAACCCTGTGGAGCAAGGGCAATTTTGCCAGCCCAGACTAGAATCCGACACGCTCAGCTCGCTAGCCGTCCAGGCACGGCAAACCATGGTGCAAGCACCGTGGACTTGGGACTCAGCACCGATAGCTCAGATTGAATTCAGATCTCTCACAAAGTACACCAGATATATAACAGACACCTGGTAGTATTTTGGGAGCAGAAAAAATTATTTTCTCTTAGGCTTTTTGAACTGAATGAAGTTTTTTGGAATCTTTCTTAGCCTATGAAACAGTTTTTCCTTAGAACACCTAAGAACTGTGCAGTAGTCGTTCGTGGAGGTTGTTTTTGATTTGGTTCCATTTCATTTGCAGTATTGGGAATGAACCCAGGGCCTTTGCACTGAGCCCAGCCCAGTTAGAATCATTTCTTTTGTAGCCAGGTTTCAGTAAGTCACAGAAGTTTCCTAAGCTGGGCTTGAACTTGAGATCATCCTCCCTCAGCATCCCAGATGCTGGGATTCAGGCGTGGGCTGCTGTGCCCAGGACCTTTTGTGGTGGGAAACACGTGCCAGGTGAGCTGAGGGAGGGAAGGGCACTAAGAAAAGACTGCACTGGCTGCGTCCCCAGCCTGCCATCCCTGTGCTCGGGGAAGGAGGCCAGGCCAAAGGCCCCAGCGCTCCTGCCTTGCACCTCTGATAGGTTTTATTATTTTTTTTTTAATTAAGGAAAATGTGTAACATGAGTAGTTACTATTTACTGGTTCAGAAGGTGGGAATTTTTCCTTATTCACTTTATGGAACAATTTTTAAAATTCTAAAACCAAAGTACAGCAGGGGTTAATGTTACTAAAAAGTATGTTCCACATACATAAACATTAAAATAGTAGTTTCTCCCTTGAGTGCTAAAATACTCATTTTTAAAATTTTTTGGTGAGATGTTCTGGGGGAAAAATTTTCCCTTTTCCCCTGACTCAACTTTTGTGCTCCAGAAAATTTTCTATAAATCTCAACATAAAACTACAAGCGTTAAAATAATTTGCGGATATGGAAAAGAAAATGACTTTTTCAAAAGAGGAACAAATTGCTAAATTGGTGTATTATAAATGGTGGGTTTTGTTTTGTTGGTATGGAGAATCAAACTTGGCACCTTGCAGTTGCCAGGCAGACACTTGTGCCACTGAGCTATGTCCTCGGCCCCCAAAATTGTGGTTTCTTAAAGGAAAATGTTTGTCATTTATACATATCATAAAGGAAAAAATGAGGAAGCAGTCATCCAGAGGGATGATTGGACCAGGCAAGGTCTCCCTGGGGGTTTTCTTTCAGTTCTTCTGCCACACAGTCTTGCTTTCTGTAAAACTTGAAAATCTCGCTTTGTGTAAAACTCTCAAGTGTTGTAAATCTTGCAATTAAAGTTGATTACTTGTAGATACAAGCTTGGGATTGCTGTATAGCCTGTCCAGTTTGCTTTCTTATTACTCGTTGTTCAATAAACTGTGAGACTCGGAGGCTCTGGCTCCCTTCTTCAGGAGCGCCTTGATCCCTTTGGCTCTTTTCGGCTGGAGTGAGAGCACCTACTCAGGAGCGGGGGGCGGGGCTGCAGGAACCACCCAGATGTCCAGGTGAAAGTGACAGCAGCCTGTACACACTTTGGCATAGAACCTCAATCATCCTGTCCCTGTCACCAGGAGCTCCTTGGCACCCAGCACTGAGGTCATGCCATGGTGTTATACTTCGTCACTAAGGGAGCTGGGGAAGGAAAAGGTGGGCACAGAGCTCCTAGGCAGCCAAGATGAGCTCATGTCCCTGCGTGTGTGTGCACAGCCAGCTCCCTGGTCCCCTCTAGGGAGCACTGCCGACTCCCAGCAAGGTTCAGAGTCATGGTGCTGCCACCCCATGCCCTATCCTTCTCACCCACAGTATGTACGGGGAGCATGGGTCCGTGCCCAAGACCAGGCCTGAACGTAGCCCTGCCCTGAGCTGCCAGCTGCGCCCTCCAGTCGGCCAGGTCTAGAGCACAATGAGGTTTAGGCGAGACAAAGGCAGCTCCGCGGCGGCGCTGAGTGACAGGGATGCAGAAGGCGCGGGAGAGACCTAGCTGGTGGGGGCCTCAGAAGGCAGCTGTTAGGGAGAGGTGGCGAGGAGAGATCTGCTCGGCCCAGGACGAGAAGGCCCTGAGCTAGCGGGGTGCAGGGAGCAGCTGCAGGTGCGCTGGGCAGAGCCCTCGGGAAGGGCGCGGGGAGCGCCTGTGCCCTACAAACTGCGGCACCGCGCCCTGGACTTGGGGGCCAGGACAGACCTGAGAAGAATGAAAAACAGGCCAGGTGTCTAACTGCTGTGACAACTGGATTCTGGAAGGGACGGCTGGGAGGCAGTAGTACCCTGGGTGCTTTACTGACTTAGCTTACAGCATCCTCAGTAAAAGCCCAGTTTGACAAATGAGAAACAAGTTGATAGGAATGAATGACTTGCTCAGGACGGCTGGGTGGGGTAGGGCAGGTCTGTAATCCCAGGTAATCAAGAGACTGAGGCAGGAGGATCACAAATTTGAGAATAGCCTGGGCAACTTAGCAAAACTTTGTCTCAAAATACAAAGGCCTGGGGCCAGGGATTTAGCTCAAATGTCATAGTAAGTGCTGCGCAAGATCTTGAGTTCGACCCCCGGTACAAACAAACAAATAAATAAATGGGACTGGGCATGCGTAGCTCAGCACTCCTTGGGTTCAATCCGCAGTACCAACATCCCACCACCACCACCACCACCTCAGAAACATCCCAGGAGTGTCAGTGACTCAGGGGGATGGTCCGGAAAGAGAAGCCATGGATCCATGAGAAGGGATGACTTGGACCAGCTAGAAAGAGCACTTGGGCTGCAGCCTCTGCCAGAGTCAGGAGCTGCAGAGCACTGGGATGTTGGCACTGTTGCTAAGCAACCAGTGTTTAATAAGATGTAAGATGGTTCAGCTGGATTTTTATTAACATCCATTTCAACTCAGGCTAATGGTTGGTATCACTGTGATCCCTTCTCTGTTTCTTTCTCTGCCAGAGTCTCAGACTTTCCAACTATGATTATGGAAAGCTTAAGCTTTCTAGTTTCTCATACTTTTGATTTACTTGTACTAGTATGAAAAACAGTACATCACAGAGAAAGTGGATTTGGGGATTAGTTTAGTCTTTTTTTGAGACAGCCTTGCTATGCAGTTCAGGCTGGCCTTGAACTCACTATGTAGCCCAGGCTAGCCTCACACTCGCGGCGATGCTCGTGTCTCAGCCTCCCAAGTGCTAGGACTGCAGCCTGACCGCCCGGCCCTGCACATTTTTAGCATTGCGCATGTATCTATTATCCAGTTTCTGGCTGAACTGAGCCCTCTGCACAAGTCCATGTTACATTTCTAAGTGGGAAAGGTGCGAGGTTATTCTTGGAGCCTGGAAAGGCACTCAGTAAGTGCTGAGTAATTGTTTAAAGCAGAACATGGTGGGGATGAGGAGCCGTGTACTAGCAGCACCATGAGCGCAGGTGCAGAATTTTCCCGGTGTCGTGGCAACGCCTGGCCTCCGCCCTCTCGCGCATCCAGGCGGTAACTACAAGTCACACAACGATCTGCGGCTTCCCAGCCTCCAGGGGCGGAGCGGCGCGAACCGACGCGGAACCGGCTTTTTCCTCTTTGCTGCAGCGTGATTGGTCTTCGGTTCAGGGAAGCGACCAATGAACGTGCTCGGGGAGAGCGGCGAGGCCAATATGGCTTCCCACACCTGATGACGGTCGAGGAAACTGAGTTAGGTCGCATGGAGAAGCCGCAGAGCCTGGAGGTGAGAGGAGAAGGAGGAGGAGGAGGAGGAGGAGGACGTAACACAGTTAGGAACGGGACCCCCGAGGGCCTCGCTCCGCGGATCCGTCTTTAGGGCTCTTAGCCGCGTCCGAAGGGTGGAAGGATTGGTAAACTGAGGTAGTGATCTAAAACTCGGCCAGGGGTGATCCGCGTTGCTTTTTGCTTCTTCATGCGGGGCTCACGTCGGGCCAGAAGTCGGCAGAGCAACAGCCGCCCTCACGTGGGGAAGGGAAGCGGGCTTCTGATCCGGGGCTCCTGCGTCTCCTTTGTCCTGCCTGTCTCGTGGTCGTGTTCCATAGGGCTTGCGAGGCCTGTCACGTGCAGGTGGGAAGAAAAGGAAGTGACAGCTTAATACCTCTCAGCTCCAGGGCCTGAGCATCCTGCGGCATGGTTCGTCCCTATGGTTAGGGAGCCGAGGCTGCGGAGGGAGCCAAGGCTGCAGAGCGAGCAGATTCCCGGGTTCCGATGGCAGAGCTTGCAGGAGGCCGCAAGGTCCTCAGCCTCCAAAGCCTTCGTCGTTCTGCATTTCCTCTTTTACCCAGCGGCGTGTGACCTGCCCACACATTCATCTGGTGTCCTCTGGACACCTCATGCATTTGAATTTGGTTTCGTCTGTAACGTACTTGCATGTATAGTTGCAAATATGAAGTAGACTATGCTGGGAAATGCTGCAAAGGTGAAGGCGAATTAATAAGGTGGAAAATAAGAATAATAGCTTACCCTTGCAAAGCTGTTACCAACTGCTGAAAATAGAATTGGCCTTTTCCTGGCTCAGTCTTCTTAACGGTCCTCCAAAGGAGGCTTGTTATTGTGTTCATTGTATGAGTGAAGAAACTGCGAGCAGCAAGGCTACATACCATGCACAAAATCTCAGTTAAACTGGGCATGGTGGCACACATCTGTAATCCCAGCACTCAGGAGGCTGAGGCAGGAGGGTTTCCATGAGTTTGAGGCCAGCATGCGCTACACAGCGAGTTCAATACCAGCCTGAACTACCTAGTGAGATGTTGTCTCAAAACAATAAAACAAAACAAAAGAATTGCAATTAAATGCTAAAGCCAGTAGAGCCCACACCCAGGCAAATAGGCTTTGAGACACCCAATAATATTACCATTCAGCCCAATAATACACCATTTATTGAGCACTCACTGTGCAAATCACCATCCTGTGTACTTACTTGAACCATCTCTTCTCCCCTAAGTTCTGTTAAATTGAAGGGTATTATCCTTGTGCAAACCAAGGCATTAAGAACTTGATTTTTTCTGTGGGGCCTTCAGCTAGTAATCACTAGAGTTCACACCTTGTTTCACTGAGCCTTTTCTACTTCATTGATTTAAATACAATAGCACATTGACATCTCACATCCTGTGAGCCAAAATTTATCTTACTCCATGGATGCAAAAATCAAGGCTGCAGAGGTGAAATGACCTGCCCAAGGGCCCAGACAGCCAGTTAGGATGGGAGCTGAATCCAAAGTTGTGGTAGGCATGTACCACTGTGCCATACCTATCTGTGTGCCATCCACCTCTCAGATCTTCCTCTGGACACCTTGGGCCTCATACTAACTTTTCTCTGACTTAAATTGTTTTTGAGTTGACATTATTTCGGTGTACAAATGCTGAACAGGGAAAAATAATTGTAATGTTTGTCTCTTCCCCAGAAAGTCCTTGTGAATCATTTAGGACATTTTCACATTGTCCAGACTTTGGGTTTTCAAATGACAGCTTTTTGACTTTCCAATGGTGTAAAAACAGTGTTCTGTTCAGTAGACCTGGTTTCTTGAATCTCAAATTTTGATCGGATCTCAAGCTACTGATAGGCTGTGTGATTCTGGTTTAAGATATTGGGCATTTTGGCAGCAATCTGCAGCTTCTGCAACCGTTTGATCATGGGGGAAACCACCCAATACTCTACGGTGCTCTCTGCTGCTAATCTATGATGCTTGACAAATGCAATTTGCAGTTTACATTGTTTTCAGCTTATGATGGGTTTCTCAGGCTGTAACTCTACTGAAAGTCAAGGAGCAGCTGTGTTCTATCTCATCTGTATTAAAATCCTATTATCTATCAATCCATGGAAGAACCTGGTGAGGTCCCCACACCTATTTATGTCTTTTTTTTTTTTTTTTTTTTTTTTTTTTTTGTGCCCGGGATCAAACTTGCGACCTCACATTTGCCAGGCAGGCACTTACGCCCCTAAGCTAAACCCCTAGCCCCCTGTTTATGTCTTACACTATTTTGTTGCATTGTGGTGGAGAAATAGGTAGAGAATCCACTTGGTGTTTGCCTGCAGGGGTGTTTAGAAGATCCCCAAAAGTGCTGACTTGACAAAGCACCAGAAAGGAGGCTAATAGCAGATCTTCCCTCCCCATACACTGAACCAACCCTGTCACTTCTGCCTGCTCTGTGTCATTCTGCCACTAGGAGACTCCCTCTCTAGAGCCGATGGAGGAAGAAGAGGAAGACGACGACCTAGAGCTATTTGGTGGCTACGACAGTTTCCGGAGCTACAACAGCAGCGCGGGCAGTGAGAGCAGCTCCTATCTGGAAGAATCAAGTGAAGCCGACAATGAGGATCGGGAAGCAGGGGAGCTGCCCACCTCCCCGCTGCATTTGCTCAGCCCTGGGACTCCCCGCTCCGTGGATGGCAGTGGTTCTGAGCCAGGTGCCTTCCAGGTGTCCCTGAAGGACGGGGGAGAGTCTAGAGAGGTTTTTTGCAGGGGTGGAGAGCAGGGAGCACAGGCCATCCAGATATAAAACCCGGCTAGACCTCATATCCTAGGGATCAAATGTCTAAAGACCTGGCCACAGGGCCATTGCCTGTGCTGGGATCTGGTTTAGGAAATGTGATTTCATTCATTCCTTCATACACCTGATGGTTATCAATCATGTCAGACGCCAGTCAGTGACACTGTGCTGCTTTGACACTTGTGGGAGTGGGCTGAAGAGTTCTACATCTGGGTGTGCAGAAGCTGGGAAGCAGTATTGAGACTTCTTTCCCAGAAGGAACAAGAAACAAGCTGGTGGCGGGGTCCCTGGGTTGGAAATCAGGGAGTTGGGGGTGAGAGACAGGAATATTGGGTAAGGATTTAGGCGGGGGTGGCCATGTAACAATCTCCCTGATCATCAGGAGGCCAGTTGTCTTCAAAGATGCCATGTTTGGATAGCTGTAGGGTCCCTGTGTCAGGGATTCTAGTGAGTGGGCTGCCCGTGAGGAGAGGCGGGGTAAATAGTCTGACGCTCTGATCCTTGGTACCTACACCGTTTACAAGAGTAATCAAGGGCTATAGCTCAGTGGCACAGCGGCTGCCTGGCAAGCGCAAGGTCCTGAGTTTGATTCATGGTACAAAAAAAAAGTAATCTATTATTCTTTGCCAGTTGAACTTGCTTTCCTTTCCATTCAACATGTCTTCTCGTCCTTTCTGCCCTTTATCTTTCCTCCTCCTACCTCCTTCCAGTCCTACTCTTGTCAGAACTTTAGAGCCTGAAGGAATCACTGGGGACCAGTAGGCCTAGCAGACTAGAAGGAATCACCTGGGGACCTTGTAACAAACTACAGATGCTTATGTCCCATACCGATCAATTCGTTAGATGCTCAGGCTCTACAGGTGATTCCAAACTGAAGGCGGGGTTGTACCCTGGAACTGCTTCCGTCTTCTTCCTATTTAAATGAGAAAATCAAGCCACAGAGGTTAAGTACGTTGGCATTTTTTCTCCAAGCTCATTCTCTTTTGTTTTTGTTTTTTTTGGTTTGTTTTTTTGAGATTTGTTATGCTGTTCAGGCTGGGCTTGAACTCACTATGTAGCCCAGACTGGCCTTGAACTCACAGCAGTCCTCAGCCTTCCGAGTGCTGGGATCACAGGCGTACATCACCATGCCTGGCCTCCTTGTGTATTCTTTTTTTCATTTTCCTCTCTTGAAAACTTAATAATACCTGCCTGCTTCCTGTCCTCGTGAATTTCTCTCGGCCTCCCAGCTGACACAGGCAGCATATGATGGGGTGCACACCTGTAGACCCAGCTACTCAAGAGGCTGAGGCAGGAGTATCACAAGTTCCAGGCCAGCCTGGGCTACAGAGTGAGATCCTGTCTGGAAAAAAAGACAAAATGCACAGTAACTTCCCCTGTTCCAGTTCCACCAGCCTCAGTGGGGCTGGGGCTTACTGATTACTCTGAGGAGTAGCTCAGATTTTGAGGTCCATTTATGCCATTTGAGGTGACTGTGTCTGGGGAGTCACTCACTAAGCTCTCTTGCAGCTGTCTGTGAGATGTGCGGAATCGTGGGGACGAGGGAAGCTTTCTTCTCCAAGACCAAGAGGTTCTGCAGCGTCTCCTGCTCCCGGAGCTACTCCTCCAACTCTAAGAAAGCCAGCATCCTGGCGAGACTTCAGGTGAGCCAGGCACCTGCCCCTTCCGAGGTCCTGGGTGCCAAGACGGGAGCCACCCAGGGCCTGGTGGGCTTGTGACTTTCCCTGCTTGTGGCCATTTGAGGTTGCACATTTCCTGGTATTGAGTGTGCTCTCAGACTTTGTAGAACAAGAAACCCTGGAGCTTGTTTAATTACAGATTCTCAGTTTTAAACAGCAGGTCCCACCACAGAGGAGTCTGGTGCCATGGTCTTCACAGCACTGTATTTCTTTTCCAAATCCATTCTTATTTCAAAGCAAAAAAGGAAGAAAAAGAAGCAAAAAGAAAAGTAAAAACAATTTTGAAACACATCAGTTAGAGGCAACAATGGTACTTTCGTTGCACACTGTCGTCCCCAAATCATTCACCCAGAGCACAAGACATCTGCCTGCAATGGTCCAAACGATTCCAGCAGGAATCTTTCTCTTCTTCATCGCCCTTTTGTAACAGTCTTGAAAGGAAGCTGGGAACCATCTTGAGCCCGCATTGCTGGCAGCCACCTAGATAACCCGCCAGATCTCTGACAGGCATAGAATTTTGGAAGACCAAAACTGGGCTGTCAGCCCTGTGCTGTTTTTTTGTTTTGTTTTGTTTTTGTCTTTTTCTTTTTTATCGGTACCAGGGATCGAACTCGTGACTGCCTGCTACAAGGCAGGCGCTTATACCGCTGAGCCGTGTGCTGTTGAGCCAGGCATTCATGGAAGGTGCTGAGGGCCAGGGATTGCAATGAGATCCTCGCAGGGAATCATGGCTGGAGCTGAATCTCAGGCCCTGTCTTCCAGGGTTCCCGCTGCGTCCTGGGGTCCCCTGGAAAAGCTAAAACCATTGCTGCTTGTATCCTCCTGACCCCTCACATTCCAGTGGATTTGGGACAGAGTGTGGCTTGGACGTGGGGTTCTTAAAGCACTCCAGGCTGGTCCTAACCTGCGGCCAAGATGTTACCTAGTTCCTGGGTGTCAGATCTTTCTACTTAGCGCTTCACACCTTTGTGATGATGTTGTGAGGGTTACAGTTGCTCCCTAGCTCTGTGGATTTTAGTCAGGTCATCTGAATCTCCCCAAGCGCCTAATGATGTTGGCAGCATTTGCTTTGGGTTTGACATTCTTCACCCACAGCCTCTAAACAATGGTGGTGGAGCTGGTGGTATGTGCCTGTAATCCCAGCACTCCTGGAGGCTGAGACAGGAAAATTACAAATTCAAGCTCAGCCTGGGCAATTTAGCAAGATCCTATCTCAGAGTTTAAAAGCAGAAAGACCAGACGTGGTACCACATACCATGCATAGCAGCACAGGGAAAACTGACCCAGGAGGATTGCCATGAATTGAAGGCCAGCCTGAACTACATAGTGAGACCTTGTCTAAAAAACTAAACGGATTGCTGGGGTGTAGCTCAATGTGAAAGCTCTAGGTTCAGTCCCCAGTATAGAAAAAGAGAGGGTTGCTGGGCATGGTGGCACATGCTTGTAATCCCCACACTTGGGAAGCTGAGGCAGGAGGATTGGTATGAGTTGGAGAAGAGCCTGGGCTACAAAGTGAACTCAAGGTCAGCCTGAACTGCATAGTGAGACCCTGTCTCAAAAAGACAAAGAAAAGGGATTTAAGGACTAAGGATGAGCTCAGGGGTAGAGCAGTTGCCTAGCATGAGCAAGGCCCAGGGTTCCATGCTCAATACCCTCCCTCCAAAAAAGGAATTTAAAAATATTTCTGTTTTAGGGGCTGGGGGTTAGCTCAGTAGCACAAGCACTTGCCTGGCAAGCATGAGGTCATGAATTCAATCCCCATTACCAAAAAAAAAAATACTTTTTTAGAGCTGGGCATGGTAGCACATGCCTATAATCCTAGCACTCAGGAGGCTGAGGCAGGCAACCTCTCCTGCAGAGTTGCAGGCCAGCCTAGGACCCACAAACCCTATCTCAAACAGACAAAAAAAATTTTTCCATATTTTAAAAGCCCAAAAATTGTTTTAAATTTTAGTAACTTACATAGTTAATTGTGAATAGGTCAGTCTGGGATTGAAACCCACACTTCACTGATCTCTTTAAATTCTTGACCTTTCTCATCGGTGTTTTAAGTTAAAAGGTCCAGACCATGCCAGGACCTGTCTCTTAAGGGATGTCCTATTTGGGCCCCTGGTGGTGGCCATGGACATCTCTCAAGAACATTAACACAGGTAGCCTCCAAAGCCGGCAGAGAGTTTGTGGGCCTCCTGTTGCCACCTTTTGCTGTGGGTCTGCAGAAGCCAGGAAAGTGGAGACCACGGGAGAGGCTCCTGGGAGAAGCTGCGTGCCCCTCCCTGCCCTGCAGCTCAGCCCCTGCCCCTTTGGCCTCTGCGCTGTGTTGTTAGGCTCACCTTCCAGTAGCACAGATGGAACCGCAGAAGCCCCAGCAAGGCTGAGGAGCTGCACTAAGGCCAGGTTCTGAGTCAAGGAGCAGGTTCCATTGTCTGATTTCCTCCCTCCAGGGAAAACCGCCCACAAAGAAAGCCAAAGTCCTACACAAGGCAGCCTGGTCCGCCAAAATTGGAGCCTTCCTCCACTCCCAAGGGACAGGACAGCTGGCAGATGGGACACCAACGGGACAAGATGGTGAGACGGCAGAGGCCGGGAGCAGGGACCAAGCGGGCAGCCTTCCCTGGGAGAGGACTGAAAAAAAACGCCCTGCTGAACGCGGCCTTGCGGTCTCTCTGGAGCTGGTATCCCACTTGTCAGCCTCAATTTGCCAGAACCCTGTTCTGGGGCGTTGAAAAGCCAAGACTTAGCCTCTTTCCTTTCTCTTTGCTTTATCCCAGGGGCCTCTCTGCCCCAGGCAGCTGAGGCCCAGGTCTGGTTTGAAGAGGGTGCAGAAGCCGGGCGTGGTGGCTCACGCCAGCACTCGGGAGGCTGAGGTGGGAGGATCGTTGTGAGTTCGAGACCAGCCTGGGCTACAAAGTGAGTTCAAGGCCAGCCTGAACTGCATAGTGAGACTCTGTCTCAAAAAAAGATAAAAAAAAAAAAAAAGAGGTGCAGAGTGACCAGGGGGAATGAAGAGAGTGACCTTTCTCTCTTGAATACAGCTTTTTCTTTTGCTACCCGTACTGGAACTCACAACCTTGTGCATGCCAGGCAGGCACTGTGCCCCTGAGCTCTAAGCCCGGCCCTGAATGCCACTCTGCTTGGATTCAGTGTAGGCCCAGGCAGCCCTGTGGTCCTGGACCTGAGCTTTTGACTGAAATTGCTGGAGGGCAGGGTACGCCCCTCCTACCCCTCCCCGTCCTGCCTCTCTGGGGTGTGGTCGGCAGGCGGCAGGCGGGAGGAAGGCCTCAAGGGTTTAAGTGGGAAGCACTGGATGTCCCTTTCTCTGCGGGAAGAGGAGGGAGACATTTCCGGAGGGTCTGGTAGCCTTTAGGTTCAGTCTTCACCATCCCCATGGCCACTGGTGGGGCAGGTATGGTGGCACAAGAGGAGCCAGAGGGCAGAGTGTGAGAGACTGGCGGGCTTGGAAAAGGCCCCACTTCTACACCCACAGGCTCCTCGGGGTGCAGCTCCTCATGGACCCCCATCCTGGACACTTGCTCTTTCTGCTCTGCAGCTCTGGTCCTGGGTTTTGACTGGGGGAAGTTCCTGAAGGACCACAGCTACAAGGCCGCACCCGTCAGCTGCTTTAAACATGTGAGTGCCCCACCAGGGAGGGAGGGAGGTGACAGCCGGCCAGGGATGGGGCAGCTCTTGGCGTGCTGTGTCTGCTGCTCCCCACCCCACACCCCACTGTAGGAGGGCTGCTGCCTATGGGCCGTGTGGGCACTGTGGAGAGGAGGGCGGGCGGCCTCCCTGCCCGCTGTTTTACCTCTGTGTCCACGTGCTGCAAATCCTGAAAGCACCTGTGCAGGGCACCGGGCGCCAGGCTCAGCTGTGCCTCCTCTCCTGCTCACACAGTGCACTTGTGCTGCTAGGTGTCTAGCCCCCCCCCCCACCTCCCACCTCCCACATCCCTGTCGAAGCCCTCTCCCTTGCTTTTGTTCATTGGTAGCGTCTTCCAGAGAGCAAGGTGCCTCCGCACTGGTCTGGGCCCCCAGGTGGCAGGCAGGGATGGGTCCTGCAGCCAGCCTCTACAGGAGGCTCGCTGCTGCCTAGCACCTAGAAGCCAGAAAGGTGAGGCCCTGGCGGGATGGATTTGAGGTCAAGTGTTTAATACCAGCCAGCTGCAGTGGTGCACGCCTGCAATCTCAGTACTTGGGGAGGCCGAGGCAGCAGGATCAGAAGCTTGAGCCCAGGCTGGGTGGTTTAGCAATGTAGTGAGTCCCTGCCTGTGACCACTGATCTCAGTATGTGAGCTTCTTGGGTTAGGAACCACCTAGCAGATTAGTAAAGTGTACTCCTGGGTGGGTCTGGGTGGGTCCTGGAGGTGTGGCCTTGGGTGCTAGAAAGGCTTCCCTGTGGCACACTTCCCGCTGTGCTCCCCAGGTGCCAGGAATGAGACAGTTCCCTCCCAACCCCCCCACCCTCTCACCCCCACCCCCACCCCCACCCCCGCCCTGGCCCTTCCAGCTAGTCACATCTGTCCTTCCAGTTGTAGGTGTTGAGTATTATGTCTCAGAAGAGAGAAAGGACAACGGTGTCATCACACTTGCTATCCAGGTCGAGTGACAATTGCACACAGTAGTCTTTGGGCCAGGAAAGGTTCAGGCACAGGCGTAGGAAGTGCTGCCAGTGTGTGGGCCAGCACAGTGACAGGAACAGAGGCTCACCCAGGCGTGACATGCCCAAGATGGCGTGGGTAGTAACTGGCTCTGTAATGATCAGGTGTGCCCGGCTCTTGGAGGACAGTGCATGTCTCTGTGCTGGGACAGGCCTGGCTTTCTGTGCACAGCAGGTGGTGGGGGAAGTTGAGGTGCAGAGCAGGACACAATGACTGTCCTCCCTGACAGCCAGGCAGCTCGTGGCCCCCACCCCAAACGTGCTCATGGCCACACAGGTCCCACTCTACGACCAGTGGGAAGACGTCATGAAGGGGATGAAGGTGGAGGTGCTCAACAGTGACGCGGTGCTCCCCAGCCGGGTGTACTGGATCGCCTCTGTTATCCAGGCGGCAGGTGAGTGGGCCTTCGGCCAGTTGCTGGTTTGAGCTTTGTGTGCAGTGTCAGCTCTCGAAGGTGGGCAGTGTTGTCAGCAGTCACTGGCTTCATAATTCTTTTTTCCTGTTTGTGCTGGGAATCAAACTCAACCTGGTGCTTGCCAGGCAGGCACTGTGCCCAATCCCTGCTTCATAACCCAAACCATGCCCCTCCCACAGGAGGCTCTCTCCATGTTGGGGCCCTCCTGGGAAAGGCCAGTTTTGGGGTTTGTTCCAAAGATGATCAGGGTGTAGAAATGAATGCCCCGTGCCCTAACGCCTTCCAGATAAGTGGCATGGATTCGTTTTATTGGGGAAAACAGGGACCCCACTGGCCTGGAAGGAGTTCCTGGAATGGAAGTGATGATCTGGCTCAGGCTGGAGGCGAGGGGAGGCCTGAGGAGACCCCTCTCCAGCCCACCTCCCTCACGGCACCCTGGGCCTTCCTCTTAGGGTATCGGGTGCTGCTGCGGTATGAAGGCTTTGAAAACGATGCCAGCCATGACTTCTGGTGTAACCTGGGCACCGTGGATGTGCACCCCATCGGCTGGTGTGCCATCAACAGCAAGATCCTGGTGCCCCCTCGGAGTGAGTTGGCGAGAACCTTCCCTGCTGTCAGGGCCCTCGGCAGGGGGGAGCCCTGGGTCCTGGGTTGACCAGGATCCTTGGGAGGATCCAAGCTGTGGGACCCGGTTTTGTGAGATGAGGCAGTTGCTGCCCTGAAGTAGCAAAGAGAAATTACTCAGTGTCCCCTGCCCATCTCAAGGTGGGCACGGGTGCCATGGGACTGAGTGACAGGAGTCTGCTACCATCCCACAGCCATCCACGCCAAGTTCACCGACTGGAAGGGCTACCTCATGAAGCGGCTGGTGGGCTCCCGGACGCTGCCCGTGGATTTCCACATCAAGGTCTGGTGGGAGCACTTCGGGCTCTCGGCTTTTTATTTTTTATTTTATTTTTTAAAGTTCTCAGAGATCAAACCTAGGGTCTCACACATGCAAGAACCCTGCCCACTGAAACACCACCTCACGCAGTGGTCACCTGCCTGCCTCCCTGGCCTGGCCGTGTCAGGTACACTGCTCTCAGACTTTGCTCTGCAAGGCTCTCCCCTTTGGCTTACAGCACTGTTCCGGAGTTCTGGAGTGAACTCTGTAGATTTTATCATGAACAGGACTTGCAGATGAGGCGCTGTGGGGAGTACGACAAACACAGCCTCGCCCTCCGGCAATCTCCCGGGGAAATGCAGAGGCAGAGGCAATGACGATCATGCACTCAAATAATTATAAAATAGCTGCTGTTATGAACTAGGAATGTGCCTCAAAATCATTTATGTGGCATTTGATTTTAATTTTTTCTTATTAAGTGTTTTATCAAGTGATTTGACAATCTTCTGTTTCAAACAGAAAAGTAGTTTACAGGGAAATTTATTGTAATATGAGAAAGATAAGCATATACATAGGGAAAGTGAATTTTTAGAATTTAGAATTTGGATTCAGTATTTATACGGCCACAGAACACTATCCTATTAAAACGTCTGGGTTATCAAAAGTCAAATCAAAACTAAAAATTTGATTTTAATTTTTAAAAAACAGGTTAGTTGTGGTATACACTTGTAATCCTAACTACTCAGAAGGTGCAGGTAGGAGGATCACAAGTTTGAGGGTAATTTAGTGAGACCTGTCTCAAGAAAAGCGCTGGGATGTGGCTCAGTGGTACAGTGCCTCTGGCTTTAATCCCTAGTATTGTGAAGAAAAGAATTCTTTCATTTTAAAAGTTACTTGGTGAAGCCAGGCATGGTGACACATGCCTATAATCCCAGCACTAGGGAGGCTGAGGCAGGAGGATCATTGGCGAGTTCAAGGCCAGCCTTAACTGCACAGTGAGACCCTGTCTCAAAAAAAGTCACTTGGTGACCAGTCAGAAGGATCAGGTTCGCGGCAGCTGACTCTCTTGCCTCTGCTGGGCTCTGGCTGTGGTTCACCTGGGTAGAGGCCTGGGCTGCATCTGAGGTTTCCAAGCCAAGGGCCCCATAGCTCAGGCAGGGTGCAGGAAATGCAGACCACTGGTCTTGTGGTCACAGAGAAATGGATATCAAGCAGGCTTTGTGGAAAAAATTGCGTTTGGATTTGGCCTTGATGGTCAAGACCAGACTGGCTCAGAGGCCAACACAGGAAACAGACAAAATGGGCCCCGTCTCTGTAGGGATCATGGGTCCTCTCGCGCCTGCTCATTGCCCTCCGAGAGCTCCCCCTCCTGGCGTGTGTGGAAATAGCACTGCTGTGGTGGTCTTACTGCTCCTGGCCAGGGCTGATCTTGTGCCTGCTGTGCCCTGGACCTGGAGGGACCCTACAAGGCCCCGATACCACAGCGCACACGGGATCTGCTGCCCACTTGTGCCCCACCTCCGTGACTCGGGTCAGCTCGGTTCCTGGGCACTACCACTTGTTGGGTAGAGGGTACAGATGGCTGCTGCAGTGCTCTGAGAGCATTTTGGAGCCACAGCCCCTCAGAATCAGAGCTGGAACTGGACACGCTATTGTAATCCCAAATATTGTGTACAGTCATTCAAGTATCGCAATCCCTTTTCCAGTTTTCCTCCCAATCCAAATGTTATATTTGTAATCCCCTTGAGATGTCACTGGAATCCCAGCAAGTTAATTCCAATCCACACCTCCATTGCAACCCACGGAGACAGTAAAGACACCAAGACATATTTCAAGTTTAGGGCAGCCAAGAGGTCCTCAGTCCAGTCCCTGTGAGGCTGTGTGGACAAAGGCCCTGATCCTAGGCCTCTCCCAGGGTTTATTATCTTGTGAAGAAGGGGGGTGGCTCAGGGATGAGTGACAGTGAGGGTGGCGGGAACTACGTGGGTAACGAGCTGGTGGCCAGGTGGGACAACATTGTCATTGCAAAATGCAGAGATGAGGATATGCAGAAGGATCAATTTGCATTATTCAATTAAAGTAGCAACTGAATGGTTTTAGGAGGCTGTTGCTTTGTGCCCTGGGGAGTCCTTGCCTCTTTACCTTGAGGCTCCTACCCAGTGGACACTTCTGGAGCTGTTGGCTCTAACATCCCGCCTTGCTCATATCTTTTACTGAGAGGGAAAGCGGGAGACTGTCTGATGGCTTTAGAGATTACATACCAGCACCTCAGCTGGCCTTATTTGCCATGCTTAGAGCCAACTGAAGAAAGAAGGAAATACCACAATCAGCTCTCTATACCTCAGTATGAGGAAATAAGTCTCCAAATAATCAAAGTTGCAGCAATTGTTTTGCATTCAAGGGGAGTCACTGGAGTTGTCACCCACACACATAGGGACATAGCCCTGCACTGCCATCAGCAGAGGGCCAGGAGGTGTCCAGGGCTCAAAGGACAGCTCTCAGGCTGTACTGGCTTCCAGGCCCAGTGAGTCTGTGTGACTCTGGCACAGCCCTCAGCCTCTCTGGTCACTTCAGTTTCCTCAGTCTGAAGCTGGCTTTGGGGTTTCCATCACCTTGAGTCACTGGCATTTGGTGCTATGGCCCTGTGCACCTTGCAGGGCCCAAAGCAAAGCTGCAGGCCACGGGTTCCCTGTCACTTCCTGGCACCCGCCATGCTGTGCCCGTCTTCCGCAGGCATATGGAGCAGGAAGGCGGGAGGGAGGAGCCTGGGACCGCAGCGGCCTGTGATCTGGTTTTGTTGCAGATGGTGGAGAGCATGAAGTACCCCTTCCGCCAGGGCATGCGCCTGGAAGTGGTAGACAAGTCCCAGGTGTCACGGACTCGCATGGCTGTGGTGGACACAGTGATCGGTGGTCGCCTTCGGCTCCTCTATGAGGATGGTGACAGTGACGACGATTTCTGGTGTCACATGTGGAGCCCCTTGATCCACCCAGTGGGATGGTCACGGCGCGTTGGCCACGGCATCAAGATGTCAGGTCAGCAATGCCCCAGGCCAACGTGACCTCGGGCCCCGAATCCCCAGGTGTGGCAGGGAGGAGGCACCAGGACTGAGGTCCAGAGGGGCCGAGTCACCTGACTGTGATCACTCAGCCCAGCTGGTAAGTGGTAGAATCAAGACATGGTCCTGCCACTGCCAGCCTGGGTATCATGAAGGAGGGCTCAGGTCTGAGGCGGAAAGGTCCCTGGGCCTCCTGATATGTCTGGGCCGGGCCACCTGCCTGCTGGAGGTGCCACCTTTCTAGGGAGGCACTGAGGAGCCCTAGGCCACCTTCACCTCCCTTCTCTTCCTCCTGCTCCCTGCCGGTCAAGAGAGGCGGAGTGACATGGGCCATCACCCCACCTTCCGGAAGATCTACTGTGATGCCGTCCCTTACCTGTTCAAGAAGGTAAAGCATGGCCCACACAGGCTTCTCCCGTGCCCATGATCCATTCCAGATCCAGGAATCTGGGACTGTCCCTCCCTCCCTCCCTCCCAGTCCCCTGGTCCCGGCCAGCCTTCACCAACTGCCCCATTCCTGTAAGGTACGGGCCGTCTACACTGAAGGTGGCTGGTTTGAGGAGGGGATGAAGTTGGAGGCCATTGACCCCCTGAACCTAGGTAACATCTGTGTGGCGACCATCTGCAAGGTAGGCCAGGGCCTGGAGGCTTTCTGAGGGGCTTTCAGCTGCGGGGCGCTTGGGTTGCTTGCAGGGAAGGCAGGGTTGTGCACGAGAAAGCCCTGCCTGCCTCAAGGGGCCCCCCACACTCCCCTAGGTCCTCCTAGACGGCTACCTGATGATCTGTGTGGATGGGGGACCCTCCACGGATGGCTCCGACTGGTTCTGCTACCACGCTTCCTCCCATGCCATCTTCCCAGCCACCTTCTGCCAGAAAAATGACATTGAGCTCACACCTCCGAAAGGTGAACCTGTGTGCTGGCCTTGCAGGGCAAGGTCATGGGCCCAGAGTGCTGGTCGAGTAGACCCCTGGGCCATCAAGTTTTCAGAGTGTGGGAGAAGTGACAGCCACTGCCAGCCCCTACACCATGGGTACCAGATGGTGGGCAAACAGAGCTCCTGCTGTGGCCTTGAGCAGTGAACAGCCTATGCAACAGGACTGTAGTCTAGAGCAGATGCCAACCTGTGGAGGAGGAGGAAAGGTGGCTGCCATGGAGACCCCATGCTGGGTCCTGCCCAAGCTGCCGTGGCCCTTGGGCAGTGTCTACTTTTCCCAACCTGCTTCCTGCATCCCCTCCTCTCCTTCTGCATTGAAATTCTCTGCTCCTGCAGGGTACGAGTCCCAGACCTTTAACTGGGAGACCTATTTGGAGAAGACCAAGTCCAAAGCAGCTCCGTCGAGACTCTTCAACATGGTGAGGGCTCCTGATGGAGCAGGGCTTGCCGGGCTGTGGTGCATCCGTTCCAACCCCTTCTCCCGAGCGGACTGCCGGAATATCCACCCCTGAGAGTCCCACACTGGGCATGAGTGGCCGTAGTGTCACCAGCCCTCCATGCCAACTTGTCCCCCCCCCCAGGACTGCCCCAACCATGGCTTCAAGGTGGGCATGAAGCTAGAGGCCGTGGACCTGATGGAGCCCCGGCTCATCTGCGTGGCCACAGTGAAGCGGGTGGTGCACCGGCTGCTCAGCATCCACTTCGATGGCTGGGACAACGAGTACGACCAGTGGGTGGACTGCGAGTCCCCCGACATCTACCCCGTGGGCTGGTGCGAGCTCACTGGCTACCAGCTGCAGCCGCCAGTGGCCACAGGTGGGGCTTGCGGCCTTCTCCCTTCATCCCTGTCCCCCCTGTCCCCCGCGTCCCTCTTGTGTGGGGCTCAGCTCCTTGGCATGAAGTCTGAAGCCTCCCACCGCCCTCAGCAGTGCCCCTGCGTCCTGCTCCGGCCTCTCCTCCCTCCCTTCCCCCAGCCTGCCCGCATCCCGCCCACACCTGCCCCCCACTGACCCACCACCAGGTCCAGCAGCAGGCCTGCTATCCCCTCCCTGCCTGCCCCACTCTGTTCACCCTCTCTGCCTTCCCTTCCTGGGGCTCCTTCTTATTTCTGCTGCCTTGTCTTTCAAACACAGAACCGGCCACACCACTGAAGGCCAAAGAGGCCACAAAGAAGAAAAAGAAACAGTTTGGGAAGAAAAGTAAGTTGTATCCCAGGGCAGCCAGGCCCTGGTACCTGGGATCAGCTGCTTTTGTATGGCTCTTTCTGAGGGGAATCTCACCGCCACAACCCCTGGGTCAAGGTGTTAGGGCGGCCCCAAGCCCTGGAATCCATCGGCTCCCCTCTGCCTTGGCCTCGATGCACAGGCCTCTGGACACCTGAAGTATGGATAGGAGTTTGATCTCCCTGGAGATAGGTACATGATGAAGGAGAGGAGTGGAGCGTGCCCTGGGGACCTGCAGCTGCTAGGCTCTGAGGGAGAGGTCGGCAGCACCCAGCACCTCGGCCCAGGGTGGGGAGAGGGAGGAGACAGGAGCTAGAGCATGCGCGGCACACAGAGAAGTGTCCTGACCCGGGACAGAGCTGGAACAGCCAGCATCACCAAGCTGAGCAGCTGCAGGGTAATATGAGGCTGTCGCTCACCAAATGGGAAGCTCTGGGGCGCACAGGCTGGGTGCAGGGGCACGCAGATGGAGTGTAGAAAACCCCACTGGGGGTCTCACTGACCTTGGCACACGGCCCGCTCATCTGCCCCAATCTGTCACCTTGTCCCTCCACCCTGCAGGCCTCCCACAGAATGGGCCCTAATGCTGGCTTTGATTCCATTTTTATTCCAAGGGAAAAGGATCCCACCAGCCAAGCCCCGCGCCCTCAGACAGGGCTCCAAGAAGCCCCTGCTGGAGCACGAGCTGCAGGCTTCAGGGAAGGTCGAGTCGGAGCCCGGGCCTGGCGAGAGTAAGAGTTCCCGGGGGTCCAGGCAGGGCCGGCCTGCGCTGCGCAGCTCGGAGGCGACCTCTCCATCCCGGCCTGGGCACAGAAGAGAAAGCCAAGGTGGAGGGGGATTTGCCGGGCACTGAGGGGTCCTCAACCCCTGGGCCGGCACCAGCAGCACAGCCCGTAGCCAGGCTTTGGGCTGCTCCTCCTGCGCGTGCCACACCTGCCGGGGTGGGGGACAGCGGGTGCCGGTCTCTCTGCATGCCTGCTGGCTGGCTGGGTGCACCCTGGGCTTCCAGTTCTGCTGCCTTGGGAGGTGAGCAGGGGTGACAAGTGTCCCCAGCCGCTGCCACCTCCTGGTGGCCCTGTGTGTGGGAAGCTGGGCCCTACGGCAGCGCATGCTCGCCCTGCTGTCCCCCGCAGTCATCGCCGTGTGTGTGAAGGAGGAACACCTGGACACGGCCTTGCCCGACAAGACCCCTGGTCTGCAGCTGCCCATGCCCGTGGAGAACATCAAGCAGGAGATGGACCATTGAGCCGGCGCAGAGCCTGTCGGGCAGCCACCCTGAGCCAGGCAGCAGAGGTCACCCTCTGCTCCTGTCCCTGGAGCTGGAGGCCGAGTCTGACATAAAACAATCCTGCCTGCTGTGCAGGGCCCGGGCTTGGAAGGTCCAGCCTAGGGCTCCGTGGTCTGCCCTCTGGGCAAGGCCTCTGCAACCCGAGCTGCCTGAGGCCCCCACGCCAGTCTGTGTGACAGCCTCTGCACCCTGAGTTTTCCAAGCAATCACACTTGCTGCCTACTTTTTTTTCTTTTGTCAGTGCTGGGAATTGAACACACTGCACACACCCTGAGCTACATCCCCAGCCCTTTTTCCATTTTTTGAGACAAGATCTCCATAAGTCACTAATTTGCCCAGCATGGGCTCAGATTTATAGTCCTCCTGCCTCAGCCTCCTGGAGCAATGGGATCACAGATAGGTGCCACTGCACCCCTAGTTCCGCTCTCCCCATACCCTCAATGCTGGGCCATGCGGCCAGAAGCAACTGTGTGCCCACCTTCAGACACCCGAGCTGACAAAGCCAGCTGTGGGGCAGGAGCAGCCTCTGCCTGAGAGGGAGCCAAGCACCAAGCCTCATCTGGGGTCACAGTGCCGGTCACCCTGGGGACCCCACTGTGGTGGGCAGCTAAGAAGCAGTGACCAGGATAGTGGAGTTTGGTGACCTGTAAGGTGCCCTGAGCCTTGTCCCTGGGCACGGGCACTGCCACTTTCAGTGGAGGCCAGGACCCTGCGACACCAGGAGCACAAGGTGGCGACCCCGGCTAGGACCTGACATTTCTGTTCTCTGGCAGACCAGAATCATGCGTGGCCTTGGTACAGGGTGTGGCCAGCAGGATAGCACCCCTGCTCCAGAAGGGGGGACACACACTGCTGGCTGGGTGTCACTGCCCTCAGGCCCTCTTCCCGCGCCTCTAAACTGCATCCTGAGAGCTCACCTTGTGTCTGTCTGTCTGTCTTTGCCCTCGGTCTCCCCTACAACCCAGCCCACTCTATAGCTGCTTCCTGCAGCCTTCAGCCCTGTCCTCCACACCCGTGTGAGACCCAGGCAGCTCTGTCTGTCCTGTAAGGGCTGCTGCTGTGTCCAGCTGCCTCAGTGGCCCCTCAAGCCCTTATGCCGGTGGCTGGCACCCAGACTAAGCACATCCCTGAGAGGGGACACGCATGGGCAGTCACGGGCCTGATGTTCATGGGCAGCCTCCCAGAGAGCTTGGACTCCTTTATGGAAGGCAGCTGGTGGCCCTGTACTGTGCAGCACCCTGGAAGCGGCCAACAGTGCAGCTTGATTTCCTCAAAGAGCCCACGGGTGGGGGCTGGGGATTTAGCTCAGTGGCATAAGCACCTGCCTTGAAAGCAGGCGGTCGTGAGTTTGATCCCTGGTACGGATAAAAATGAAAAAGACAAAAAAAAAAAAAAAAAGCCCACGGGCTTGGGAGTGAGGACCGTGGGCTGAAGCAGGCTCAGTTCGGAAGCCTATGCACTGCTCTTGCATGTGGGCAGTGACAAGGAGATGCCATAGTGTGCTCCCTGTCCCTGCAGTCAGCTCAGGAGCCCAGTGGGAGAGAGCCCCTTGTGTCACCTAGCGGGTCAGGGAACCCCGGGCTGGGGAGCTGTAGGGAAACTGGCTCCCCTGCGGCTTTCTCTCTTTCCATGACCAGGAGGAGCCAGCCCTGTGCTGGGAACAAGATCCACATGGGGAGGGCGGAGCTGTGGGCAGCCATCCCCTCCCTGGCCCGCTTCCTGGGTTCCTTGTTCCTGAGCAGCATCTGCCCCTTGCTGTGAGTCTTTGGGCCACCTCGTGTGAATGAAGAGGACAAAACAGTGGCGCCAGTCACCACCTTGAGTGCCCCATGGCAGCCACACACCACTGTCATCATGTGCCATTCCCTGTCCCCAGAATACAAGGTCCCCAAAGATGGACCCTGGGTCTTACCTATCCCCAGTCCCCTGCCCAGGCCTGGCTTTGCTGAGTGTGAAATGGGAAAATGTGCGTACATCTTGGGTTGCTGCTGCCTGCAGGGCTCCTGGACCTGTGCCATGGAAATGTGCTCTCAGTCTCGGCACTGGGCTGCAGGCTGGAGAACACCAAGCGCCCTCTGCTCCCTGCTTCCCCTGCCTGAAAGTCACAAGTGGCTGCTGCAGCAGTGTGTGGTGGTGCACACAGAAGCTGAGACAGGAGGATCAGAAGTTTGAGCCCAGCCTGGGCAACTTAGGAGACTTAATGAGACAAGGTCTCACTCAAAATAAGAGAGAAAGTAAAGATCATGATCCAGAACTCCAGGGCTGGCACTAGATGGGTACCCCACACCAGGAGCAAAACGCTCTGAGAGGCCCAGTTCCTGCCCAACCCCATCCTCTAGCCACACCCTGAGCCTCAGCATGGCCTCCATTCTACTCTCCTGGGCTGCTGACTGCCAGCTGGTGCCAGTGCCTGGCCATTCAGTGCCACGGGATACTGGCGGATGACATTGCTGCTGGCACTAAAGCCATCCTGGGGGTGCTTGAATGGCCGAACTTGTCCCCCACCAGCCTGGGGCTCTGAGGACACCTTCCTCAGCCTTACAGAACGACCTTAGGAGCCAGTGTGTACTTCCCCAAAGAGGTGTGCTGGAGTCTTCACCCCCAGTCTTCCATCAAAGTAAGCAGTAAGTAGGGCTGGGGATAGAGCTCAGCCGCACCGCACCTGCCTGGCAAGTGCAAGGTTCCGAGTTCAGTTTCTGGTACCAAATTGTAAAAATTAATGGAATTAAAATGACCTCATCGGTTTGGGTTCTGCCTCACCATGGCCAGTTTTCTAAAAGAGGGCAATTTGTACTGGTAGGTCTGTAATCCTAGCAACTCAGGAATCTGAGGCAGGAGAATTGCAAGTTTGAGTCCAGCCTGGGCAGATTAGCAAGACCTTGTCACACAGTTTATAAAGGGCTAGGGCTGGACATACTGGCCATTGTCCCAGCTTTGGGGAAGCTGAGGCAGGAGTGTCACTGGGAGTTTGAGGCCAGCCCGGACTGCCCCAGTTTTGATCAATCCATAAATGGGCTACAGCTGCAGCTCAGTAGTAGGGTGCCCACCTAGCATACACTAGGCCCTGGGTTTAAGCCCAGCAATGCGGGCAGAAAAAAAAAGATGGAGGGGACTCTGACCGATATGGAGGGGCGGCAGCCATGAAGACCATGTGAAGGTGAGGATTCGGCCACTAAGGCCAGGAGGACAATCAAGGAAAGCATCCTTCCTCTCAGGTTTCAGACAGGGCCTGAACACCTTGATTTCTGGCTTCAGGGCACCCTCACAGACAGATTTCTGCTGCTCTGCGTCACCCAGTTTGTGGTGCTTGGTTGTGGCAGCCCCAGAAACTTAATACAACACCACCAATGCCCCCAGGCATTGCCAATCCCCCTGAGGGAGGCAGGCTCCCCCAGCCCCACCAGGGCCTAGCCTCTTCCCTTGGGCCCTGCTGCGGGGCACCTATGCCCTGTGCACCCTCTCAGAAGCCATGGCATCTCGCCACCTGCAGGTTGAAGCTGAGTTAGTGGGGTCCAGCCCGCTGGTCCCTCCACCTCCCCATCCCCCACAATACTGCGAGGTCCCGATCCACAGAACAGGCCAGGCTGTCGTGGCCACTATCCCCTGGGACAAAACGGCTCATAACCATCGCCTCGAGGTGAGGAGGGGACAGCAGGGCCATCTGTGGGCCATCGCTCAGCTCTGGGGCCTGTGAGTGGAACAAGAGGTTGGAGCCCAAACCCTGCCCGGGCCAACCTTGCCAGCTCCTCATGGCCTCCCCTTGACTGAGGTCCTCCGGGTCCCTGGCCTGGATGCCGGTGTCCGCTTGGCCTTCCTGGCAGCCCAGCCTGGGCAGGCTTCAAAGACAGCAGCTGCAGCCTTCACCCGCTGACCCCGGGCACCAGGAGGGGTGGCACAGGTGGCTCCCACCCGCAGGTTCAGCCCAGTGAGCCACCTGAAGAGGAAAGAGCTTGGGGAACACACGGTCTGACCTTTCTGAGGGGTGGGAGGCAATCAGGAGTTTGGGGGCAGTGGCTCTAGCAGGGTGCTGCTCAGAGTCCTGGCTCTATGGCTCACCAGTTACGTGGCCTCTAAGTCATTTCAAGCCTTGGGTCCTTTATGAAAAGGGAATAAGAATATTTACAGGAACAGGGCATGGTGGCACATGCCTATAACCCAAGGTACTCAGGAGGCTGAGGCAGGAGGACTGCAAGTTAAAGCCCGAGCAACTTAGCAAGACCCTGTCTCAAAAAATAAAACAGAGCTGGGGGTGTAGCTCAGTGGTAGAGCACTTAGTGAACACAACGCCCTAGGTTCAATCCCTAGCACCATGGAGAAAAAGGGGAACAAGGCTGGGGATACAGCTCAGTAATGCAGTGCCTGCCTGGCAAATGTGAGACTCTGAGTTTGATTCCCACTACCTTAAAAAAAAAGGAACAGACCCTGCCCGGCAGGGCGTGGCTGGGAGGCAGCTGTGCTACCTGTGCAACGGGAGCAGCTGGCAGTCACAATGGAAGGGATTGGCACTGAGGTCGATGAGCTCAAGGCTACTGAGGCTGGGCAGCGCGGGCAGGGACCAAAGTTGGTTCTTCTGCAAATGCAGGCTCTGGAGCTCTGGCCCCAGGCCAGAGAAGGCTCCGGCGGAGATCTGCAAGGAGATGCCAGGCCCTGGCGTGAGCGCCTGCCAGGCCTGGGCCACCACCTGGAGAGCCCGAGGTGGTCTAGGTGGCAAGGGAATTGCTGGGCTCAAAAGTCAGATGGGGTTTCATGTCCAAGTGAGCCTAAAGCCCACCCACTTAACAGGCCTCTGGGGGCTTTCAATAGTACGTAACACCTGGACCCAAATGTCTCCCCCCCCACTCCCCACACTGTCCCCTGGGGTACGCCTCCAGCTATGAACCACTGGATTCCACCTGGCCTGTCACCTCCACCTGGGCTATGTGTTTGTCCCAAGGTTTCCATGTCCAGCCCAAAACCTGGCACTTGTGATACAGCATTGCTGAATGAATGCACATTATTCATGTACGGCCCTGTGCTGTGTCCCCCACCACACACCGGGTGCCCACCTGCTCCAGGCCACTGCTGTTCAAGAAGAGGCACTGCAGTGACTGCCCTGCGGGCTGGAAGGCTCCCTCGTGCAGGGCCCGGAGTGGGTTCCCTGAGAGGTCCAGCTCCTGCAGCGCGGGAAGCCCCTCCAGGGCCCCAGTGGGCACCTCTCGAAGCCGGTTCCTGTCCAGGTGCAGCTTCTCCAGCTCACGAGCTGCCCCCAGTGCCCCAGCGGACAGCTGAGTGATGTGGTTTTCGCTCAGGTAGAGCCAGCGCAAGGCCCGCACACCCGCCAGGTCCCCAGGGCCCAGGTGCTCCAGAGCATTGTCCTGCAGGTGCAGGGACACGAGGCTGGGCAGGGCGCGCAGGGCGGCGCCTGGCACCTGCAGGAAGCGGTTGCGCTCCAGGTACAGGTAGCCCAGGTTGGGGGCCCCGTCGAGGGCCGCAGCGCTAAGGTCGGAGAGCTGATTGTCGGAGAGGTAGAGGTAGACGAGGCGGCCCAGCCCCGCCAGTGCGCCTGCCTCCAGCTCCAAGATGCCGCAGTGCTGCAGGTGCAGCGACACCAGGTGGCCCAGGCCGGGAAAGGCCGCCCGGGGCACCGACAGGAAGTGGTTGTGCCGCAGGTCCAGCAGCTGGGTGTCATTGGGGAAGCCGCGGGGCACCGTCTGCAGCCCGCGGCCCTCGCAGCCGCTGTGCCGGGACCCGGGGGTGCACACGCAGGCGCGCGGGCAGGGCGCGGCTGCAGCCTCGGGCTCGGCGGGGGCGCGGGCTGGCGCACGGGGCCCAGGAGCCCGCTCCTCGGGCTCGTCCTCTGCCGGGTCCCCGGGGCAGCGTAGGTCCGAGGGCCGCAGCGCGTCCAGCGCCTCGCCGCGCAGCCTCCGCGGGCCCCGGCACGCGCCGTCCGAGCGCACGCGCGCCCGCGAGAGCCACTCGAGCAGGGGCCGCGCCTGGCAGCCGCACCACAGCGGGTTGCCCTGCAGCCGCAGGCGGCGTAGCTGGCCCGGGCCCTGCAGCGGGGGCAGCGCGTCCAGCTGGTTCCCGCGGAGGTCCAGCGTGTGCAGGCGCGGGCAGCGGGCGAAGGCCCGAGGACCCAGCGCCTGCAGCGCCCCGTGGTCCAGCGCCAGCTCGCGCAGGCCGGGCAGCGCCAGCCCGTCCTCCTCGCCCGCGTAGGTGAGCGGGTTGTGGCCCAGCTCCAGGCGGGCCAGGCCCCGGGCCTGGGACAGCGCGGCTCCGGGCAGCGCCTGGAGCTCGTTGTGCTGCAGGCTGAGGCGGCGCAGCGCGGGCAGGCCGGCCAGGGCCTCGGGCGCCAGCACGCTGAGCGCGTTGTGTGCCAGCTGCAGCCAGCGCGCGCGCAGCAGCCCCTGGAAGGCCATGGCCGGCAGGTAGACCAGCGCGTTGTGCGCCAGGTTCAGCGTGGCCAGCGCGCCCAGCGCCCCGAAGGCGCCGGGCCGCAGCTCCTCCAGCGCGTTCCGCTCCAGCTCCAGGCGCCGCAGCGAACCCAGCCCGTCCAGCGCCTCCTGGGGCAGCGCTCGCAGGCGGTTGGACGCCAGGTTGAGGAGCAGCAGGCGGCCCAGGCCCCGGAAGGCGCCCTCAGCCACCTCCTCCACCTGGCAGTGCCGCAGGTCCAGGTGCGTGAGGTGCGGCAGGTCCCGGAAGGCGGCCGGCGGGATCAGCCTCAGCGCGTTCCCCTGCAGGTCCAGCCTCTGGGTGAGCTGGGCGGAGGGAAGGCGAGGCTGAGCGTGGCGCGCCTGTCCATCGCCTGGAACTGTCCTGTCCCCCTCTTCTCCGATGCCTCCTTCCTGAAGCTTTCCCTCCCCCCAGCCTTCGAGCATGCAGCCTTCCCCCGCGGTGGCACTTGCCACCTTGTCCAGTCACTGCCTCCTTACTTTAGATCCCCTCAACCTAACTCCCCAGAGTAGGCGGCATTCTACCTTGCCACATTCTAGTTCTCTGCAAAAGGATTTCTATTGAAGCCAATATTATATCTGTAGGTCACCTGTGTATTCTAGGCACACAATAGGATTTTTTTTGAGGCAAAGTCTCAAACTAATGATGATCCTCCTGCCTCAGCCTCCTGCCAAATGCACCACCATTTCCCAGCCCTGTAACTTTGTATTATCTTTTCCATTGTACAGACGTGAAGACTGAGCTTGGAAGGAAGTAATTTGCCAAGCTGGCCCCACCAGGGGGTAACATAACAGATCCACTGCCCAGAGCAGAGTCCTCCTGCAGTGCCCCGACCATCATGCTGCCCCACTGACCTCTGGGAGGGCGCTGGGCACCTCAGTGAGGTTCTGGTGCCGGCAGGAAACATACCGCCTGGCATTGTCACAGATGCAGGGCTCTGGGCAGCGCTGGGCAGCCACATGCCAAGCTGGGCCCAAAGGCAGCAGCAGCACCAACACCACCACTGAAGGGATGTGGGCGGAGGTCTGGGCCCTAGAGGCGGAAGGAGAGTTGGCTGCCTTGGGCAGGGCCCACTCCTGCCCCTCACCCTGCCCAGCCTTTGAGCCCAGGGCAGTGGCATCAGGCTGAGCCTGTTCCAGCCCCCTACACGAGAGCCTCTGTTATCAGCCCTTTCACACTGGAAGAAACTGAGGTTCACAAATCAACCCAGTGAGTCCCTTTTTTCTTTGGTACTGAGAATTGAACCTGGGGCCTTCACAGCAAGCTACATCCCCAACCTTTTTTAGTTTTTTATTTTGAGACAGGATCTTACTAAGTGGTCCAGGCTGGTTTCGAGCTTGTGATCCTCCTACCTCAGCCTCCCACATAGCTTCAGTGACGACATGTGCCATCACACCCAGCTTGCCCATCTCTTCTAAGGAACAACTGCTGCTCCTGTGGCTTTCCTGGCCTCCCCTCTGCTTCGCTCACCACCCAGTGGCTGAGAGGAACTTTCCAGAACATAGCTGGGAGCCTGGCATCACAGCGGCAAACCCTCAGTCATCTCTTTCCTGCCTTAGCGGAAGCCCAGGCCCAGCCTCCTCCCGGAACCCACTCTGTGGTGGCCCCTCTTCCCCATCAACCATGAGCCCAAGCAGCATTGCTGTCACCGAATAGATGCAGAGCCCCCTCCTTGCCAGCTGTGTCACCTGGATCGCCAGCCCTCCCTTCTGTTCCCAGCCACGTCACACAACCTTTTCTGTCACCGAGGCTGCGCCTTCCCCACCCTGCTCACGATTGTCACCATCTGTGTTGGAGTCCAAGGTCCACCCATCTTGGTGCTGGTGGCCTGTGGTCAGGGCAGGCCAGAGAGGGGCCCAATCAGGTGGGTCCCCAGAGACCTGCTGCACCTCAGACAAGCCCCCAGAACCAGGCACAGGAAGCCCCGGAGTGGACTGGTCATCCCCAACATCCTCCTGCCCACCCACCCACCTCTGGGGAAGGACCTGGAGCCCCTGCCCACCGGCCTACTGGAGGCCTAGAGAAGAGCAGTGCTTGCCTGAGGCCACACAGCTGTCCTAAGACCCTCTGGCCCTCAGAGCCCCAGGACTCACCGCTCCATGCCACTGGAAGGAACAGCCAGGCCAGCCTGGAGGCACAGTGCAAGGAAACGTTGGTAATGGGCCCTGCCGGCAGGCCCGCAGGAGCCCCCCTCCTTGGCCCACAGGCTCAGCCAGGGACAGGGCTGAATGGGAGGCATTGTCACTGCCTGGGCCTGGGCGAGTCGGGGCTTCCCCGGGCTGTGGGCAGGGGTGGGAACAGCGGCTGCAATTACAGGGCCTCCTGCCCAGCACAGGCCCAGGAACGGGGCCCAGGACTGAGTCCCCAGACCACCCGGCAGACAGGGGCCAGGAGGAGGCATCCTGTGGGTCCCTGGGCGGGCAACCCCTCAGTGAGCCTGTTTCCTGTTCCCTGAAAAACACTTGATGTTAGGAGCTTGTTCCTACCTGGTTTGTAGGAGGTGGGCAGAAAGGTTAACCCCTTCCTTTCTGTATGTACTCATACACATTCAGTTGGATGCTACATATACATCTGCAAAGCTGATTTAGTTTGTAACATTGAATGCTTGGGAGTTAGCAAAATGCATTCCTTTGAGCCATGCCCATTACTTTTGATGGTTACATAATATTCCATTGTAGAAGTGCATCAAACTTACCTACTCATCTTGAATATTTTGGTTCCTTTCACTTTTTTTGCTGTTACAAACAATGTTATCAGAAAACATTAGTATATCAGAATATAGGGCTTCCCAGGCACTTGTGCACTTTAAAAATGAAATAAAGCCAGGTATAGTGGTATACACCTGTAATTCCAATACACAGGGAGGCTGAGGCAGGAAGAGAGTGAGTTCAAGCCCAGCCTGGGCAACTGAATGTTTTATTGAGACATCTCAAAATCAAAAGTGAAAAGCAAGCTGTGGCTTCCAGCATGGGGCCATTTGGGAAGGTCCTGCTTTGTGTGTTTGCAGCTTTTTGCTGTGAAATGGGAGGGGTGAATCTGCTACTGGCCCTGTAATAGACAAGGGTGCTACCATTGTGGCTTTTTTTATTTTTGTCTTTCTGAGACAGGGTCTCTCTATGCAGTTCAGGCTGGCCTTAGGCTCACTTTGTAGCCCAGGCTGGTCTCAAACTCACAATGATCCTCCTGCCTCAGCCTCCCAAGTGCTGGGATTACAGGAGTGCACCACCACACCCAGCAGGATTTATTTATTTATTCATTTGTCTTTTTCCTTTTTATCGGTACCAGGGATCGAACTCACGACTGCCTGCTTGCAAGGCAGGCGCTTATGCCGCTGAGCTAAATCCCCAGGCCCCCCCCCCCCAGTGTTTTTAAATTTTAAATTTTTTTTTTTTTTTTTTTTTTTTTGGTGGTACCGGGGATTGAACTCAAGACCTCATTCTTGCCAGGCAGGCACTTAGGACACTGAGCTAAATCCCCAGCCCCCCAGGATTTTTTTTTTAAACCAGACTTTCACACACAGTTTCACTCAACACATCTTACACCAGAGGAGATTCGGGGTGAGGCGGCTAGAGACCACCAACTCGTGGCCACAGAACTGCTGTGCGTGCTCATTCCTGCCTGATTCTGCTCAGCAGCATCTTTCACTCAGGTGTTAAGTCATAGTTTTCTTTGTTTTCTTTTGATACCGGGATTCAAACTCACAACCTCACGCTTACCAGACAGGCGCTTAAGCCACTGAGCTAAATCCCTGGCCTAACACGTAGTTTTAACTTGTTCATTTTCATTTTTGAAGGCACATGTTAGCATTCTATCCCATAATGTGCAATACAACAGTGGCCTGGGATGCAAGGGGAAAAACAATCTGCCCCAGTTACAGAGATTGTTGGTTTAAAGCTATAGACAGGGGATTGACCTTGTGCTTGCCAGGCAGGTGCTTATGCTGCTGAGCTAAATCTCCAGCCCCAAAATTGGAATGGAATATAGTTGGGGTAGTAGAAGGACCTGTAATCCCAGCACTTGGGAGGCTGAGGCAGGAAGATCATTGTAAGTTCAAGACCAGCCTGGCCTACAAAGTGAGTTCAAGGCCAGCCTGAACCTAAACTGTATAGTGAGACTCACTGTCAAAAACAAAAACGTGAAAATGGAGAAAGGAAAAGAGAGCAGACAGGGGCTGGGGATTTAGCTCAGCGGCATAAGCGCCTGCCTTGCAAGCAGGCAGTTGTCAGTTCAATCCCCGGTACCGATAAAAAAAAAAAAAGAATTGAACATAGGCCACAGCATGCTGGACACTGAGATCCACTGAGATCCATTATCACCCCTTATTTTATGCAGGTATGTATTTTTGTCTTTTTGAGACAGTCTCACTATGCAGTTCAGGCTGGCCTGGAGCTCACTTGGTAGCCCAGGCTGGTCTCGAACTTGCCTCAGCCTCCCTAGTGCTGAGATTACAGGTCCCTCTACTACCCCAACTATATTCCGCTCCATTGGCTCCTCATTTATTCAATGTTACCTGAGCAATGCATCTTATTGGCTGACCACAGTTATGCCCACCTTGCAAATTCCTTTTCCCACCTTTGACTGATTTAACCTCATGATTTTACCCTATAAAAGCCCAGGCAACCTGCGTGGGACCCCTTCTGTCCCTCAGACAAAAGCTCTTTCATTCTTTGATTTTAGAACATGAACACGAACGCGTACCGGACACAGATGAAGAGTTTCATCCCCTGTATCACAGGCGTGCACCTCCACACCTTCTGTCTCCATCCTGAGCTGGCCAGGCTCACCAGGTCCCTTGACGTCTCTGTCGGTCACTGCACCTATCCTGATGGTGGCGGGTATTGCGGCTGCCAGCCTTAAGGCCATTTGGAAAAGCGCTGCTTTGTGTGTTTGCAGCCATTGCTGCCGTGAGGTGCCAGGAGTGGAGTCGCAGCTAGTTTTAGTTAATTCCAATCTGCCACTTCCAGTGCAGCCCACGGAGAATAAAGACACCGAGATGAGGGCTGAAAGCGCCTCTGCAGCAAGAGGACATGCAGAAAGGCCAACCTGCGTAACACAGTGAGGTAGCACCCGCTGCTGTGGGGCTCTGTGCTTTGGCTGTGATGTGCGGGGTGCCCTGGAAAGTCACTCCTGCTCATCTGGAGGCTCCATTCCAGATGTTTTTGGGAGTCACAGGGTGGAGAAACAGCCGCTGTCGCCTAGCTTCGAAGATTAGGCTCAGCCAGCCCTATTTAGACAGCTTAGAGCCAACTGAAGGGAAGAGGAAATGGCTCAGCCAAAGCATTCTGCAGTCCCCGTGGCCTCCAAGGTATCGTGCGTTTTCTCAGCTTACTGACTCGGCTGTGCACACGCTACAGTACTGTTTTTTTTTTCTGTGCAGCATCCAGTGGCTTTATTTTACCTGTCATATTCCTGATTCACTCCCACATTCCAAAGTGGGGTTTCATGGAGGTGACTAGATCATGGGGTGCTACATGAATCAGGGGCTCATCCGTGGGAGGCGTCATGGCTGAATGTGCTGTTAGGCCTTTCCGAGGCGGGGGCTCCGGCACCTGAGCGCTTCCCTGGGGCCTGTGTTGGCTGGAGCTCCACGTGGCCCCCAGGCCACCTCTCCCTTCCCCAGCCTGCAGGGCCTCAGACTGAGCAGGGCCAGGGCGTCAGCACCCTTCGCTTTGGAGATGACCACCTCCTCTGCCCAGGGCACACACAGTGGGGCACCACGGGCCACAGGGGTGGCATGAGACTCCATGTTCCCTCTAGCCCCACACGGCTTCACAGGAAAGATGCTGGGCACCTGCCACATCACCCGGTGGACACCCTGAGCTTCAGGGCACTTCAGTTCTCTGGGTTCCTCGGGTTCTCAGAGCTCTCCCCCACCCAATGCTTCAAGGTTTTCCTTACCTCACTGCCCACTGTCCTCACAGGGCCACAAAACTTTGTGGTTTTTCAGACAGAATTTCACCAAGTTCCCATGATGAGCTCAATCTTGTGATCCCCTCCTCTGCCTCCCAGCCTAAGGAGTCTTGACTAAAATACACGGGTGGTGTCTGCTTAGTGCTCTCTCCAACTCCCCGGAGGTGGCGGTTGTGTAGGTGAAGCAGTGAAGTGCGGCCGGGGGTCCTCCCACGTGTGGACAGTGAGGGCCTCTGGGAGTGGCCCAGCTCCACAGTTCACTGCAAGGTGACAGCTCGAGGCTGCACAGGCTCCCGCAGGACCAAAGTGGGGCCCACTTACAGCCTAACAATGTCAAACTCGGGCGAGAGAAATTTCTCAGTCTCCCCAGCTGCCATAGGTGCCTTTATTTGTGAAGCTGCCACACACAGGCCAGACACAGAGCGCTCACGGGAAGCACAAGGCGGTCATAGGGCTGCGGGCCGCCCCCAGCCTCCCCACCTGGGTCCTCAGAGAGCAGCCCCAGCCAGGCACAGTGCAGCACTAGCATCGCTCCCCGTCCCTGGGTGCAGCAGCGGCCCCGCTGGCTCGGCCCTACTGTTCCAGGACCTCTGGGGCCACCCCTGGGGCCTTCTAGTCCATAGGAGCAGGGGCTGCAGGGCCGGAGTCCTGGCCTCTGTGACAGGCCCACTCCACAGGTTCTCTTGTAGGCCACGCGGGTCACATGACAGGCTTCACCATTGGGCACAGCAGTCGCTGTGGGCCCAAGCCAGGGAAAAAGACAGCCCAATGTGACAGAGAGACAGCAGGGAACGCGGACAGCAACATCCCAGGCTTCAGCACAGCCCAGGAAGTGACAGGACAGCAGGATGGGGTGGGGGCAGTTGAGCCAAGGTGCGCAGAGCACCCTCAGGTGTCGGTGAGCCTTTAATGGCAAAGCAGCCTGCATCCTGTCCCCCAGCCAATACCCCACGACAGACCAGGGCCAGGGAGACATGAAAAACCCCAATCCCAACACAGGCACAGGCACCACACCGACAGACACACTGGACCACCCACGTGACACGAAATGAAGACCCTCCCTGCCCTGGTCAGAGTCCTGTCCTGGGGATGCGAGGGCTGCAGCTCAGTTCCTCCAGGTCCCTGCCCTGGTGCAGTTGAGGGATGGAAGAGGTGGCTGGGAGGTTACACCTTATACAGTGTCTGCAGCAGGTTGTGGCGGGCAAAGGAGCAGGACTCTAGGGCGCCATTGGGCCTGCGGGGAAAAGCAGGGAGAGGGTGGGTGCCGGGGCAGCAGCGGCCTCTGTCACCCAGCGGTGACTCAACTGCTCTCATTTTCACCAGGGTGCAGCGAGGAGACACGAGCCCCTCGGCCTGCTACGCCTGGCAGCCCAGCAGGGAATCCCAGAGCCACCTGACCCAAGGCCACACTCACTTGGTGATGAAGGCCAGCAGCAGGGGCACCAGGGCCTTGGGGAAATAGTCCTGCTGCACCACGTGGTTCAGGGCCATCAGGGGGCCGTAGAGGTTAGTGATGGCCTTGATCTTGTCTTCACTCTGAGGAGAACACAGAAGCTGGGGGAACCCCAGGTACTCTCGCCCCTTACCCAGACAGCTCAGCCCCATGGTAGAGCCCCCAGCCCAGGTCGCATGGGGAAGCCCTGGCCCCAGGACACCCCGGCCTCACCTTGAGCAGGCCCATGTGGACCAGCAGCCTGGTGAGGAAGGCATTGGCGTTGAAGGCCGAGGAGCCGAAGGCCTTCCTCATGAGGGCGTCTGTGGCACGAGTAGAGGGTGGCAGGTGAGAGGAGGAGAGGCTCCCAGAGCCCCCCAGAAGCGAGGCCCAGCTGCCTCCCAGCCCCGTCTACACAGGGCCCAGGTGCTACAACAAGGGGCAGCTGGCCCCCGGGAGCGGCCCAGTCAATCTGCCCCCCAGAACTTCTCCCCCGCCTGGCCTGACAGGAGAAGCAGTGCCCACCACACACTGTGGAAGACCTTGTGAGGAAAGGGACTCTGCAGTTATTTTGGGGAACAAGAAGCAGGCCTTTTGTTCCCCCAAATGCTCAGCCTCAGTTCCAGCCCCTCTTGGAGCAGGAATTCAGGAAGAAGCACCGTGCGTCACCCCTCCTCTCCTTTGCCGCCAGCGACACCCTCACTCACAGGGCCCTTCCTCCTCTCTGCCCAGCCCGGGGCTCAAACTGATGGTGCCACGAGGAAGGGGACAAGTGTGGACTGGAGGTCACCCAGAGAATGGAGCCAGGGTCACAGATCCCAGGCGGGGAGGTGAAGGAGGACTCCTCTGTGCTGGGCCTGCTGGCAGGCGGGGGAGAGCCAGCTGCCCACCTCTCCTGACAGGAAGCACCCAGCAGGGCCTGTGTTACAGTCTCCTAGGCAGGCCTGTTTCCCCAGCTGCAAATACCGGAAGGTGCTCAGCACAGTCCTCTGGCAGGCCAAGTGAGAGGCGGACAGAGCAGGCGGAGGGGTTGGACACTGCCCAGCAGCGTCACCTGTGGGGTCCCCAGCCCTGGCCCAGGTTACCTATCGTGTCCTGCACTGCCGTCCTTACTGTGGCCTCATCCTTGAACACTGACGACACCTTCAGGAAGGCTGAGACCACCTTCTCGGGGTCGGACGTGTCTGCCTGAGGACATAACAGACAATGGCAGATCACCAAGGCCACAGCCCAGGCCTCTGATCCTGCTGCAGACCAGATGAAGTCTGAGACTCGAGGGGCCTGGTGGGCAGGACCCAGGCGGTCCTCCAGCTGGCTTGCATCTGACCTACAGCACCGGGGCAGCCGGGACAAGGGGCTGGATGGAGCACAGTGAATATCACGAGCCCCAAATCCCCGTGTTGTCATCTAACCTGAAGAAATCACACAGGATACAGACACTGCCACACTAAGGAAGCCAGAGCGGGAAACAGAAGTGACAGACAGACCTTCTCACTGGACTAAAAAGGCCTGAGGGTTCCACCCACAGAGGAAACTGGAATGGTGTGACATGAACGTGCTGGGACACAGAAAGGCTGGCATGAGCTGGGAGTGGTTTTGTGCACCTGTAATGCCAGCACTCTGGGAGGCTGAGGCAGGGAGATTAAAAGTTCTATCCCAGGGGCTGGGGATTTAGCTCAGCGGCATAAGCACCTGCCTTGCAAGCAGGCGGTCGTGGGTTCGATCCCCTGTACCGATAAAAAGAAAAAAGAAAAAAAGTTCTATCCCAGCCTGGGCAACTTAGTGAGACCCTGTCTCAAAATTTTAAACATTTTGGGCCTAGAATGTAGCTCAGTGGCATAAACGCCTGCTTGGCAAGTGTGAGGTCATGAGTTCAATCCCCGGCACAAAAAAAAAAAAAAAAAAATTTTGTTTTTAAACAGAGCCAAGATGGGGGCTGGGGATTTAGCTCAGCGGCATAAGCACCTGCCTTGCAAGCAGGCGGTTGTGAGTTCAATCCCCGGTACCCATAGAAAAAGACAAAAAACAAAACAAAACAAAACAAAAAAACCAGAGCCAAGATGTAGTTCAGAGCAAAAGCCCTGGGTTCAATCCCCAGATTATACCAAAGTACAGTGCCTGGCATAAACAGGCACTCAATAATCACCCCTGAATGCCATGCATATAGCCCAGCAGCGCAGCACCTGCCTGCAAAGTATAAGGTCATGAGTTAGATTCCCAGGACCAAAAAATAGTCACCTCTGAATGAAAGAGCAAGAACTAAGCAGCCAGCAAGTGAGGCTGGCACAGAGGCAGCCTCCACGGGGCACTCACGGGGCTGGGTTCAGGCCAGGCAGGAGGTGGCTGCAAAGCTGCTCACCACACAGAAGCCCAGCACACTGGCAGCCTGAGTATGAACCCAGTGTGGTGAGGCTGGGGCAGGCAGGCTGCCCTTACTGCTGGTGGGGGACTCACAGATACCCTGGACACACTCATTTATAGGGAGGTCTGCATATGGCGGGCAGGGGTGGGGGAGGGTTGTGACAGGGTCGCATGCTGCAGTCCAGGCTGGCCTTGAACTTGTGGTGATCCTCCTGACTCAGCCTCCCACAGCTGAGATTACAGGAGTGTGCCACTACACCTGGCTACATGTCTGCATTTAAAAGTATCTTTCTCAGTGGCATAAGCGCCTGCCTGGCAAGCGCGAAGTCATATGAGTTCAATCCCTGCTATTAAAAAAAAAAAAAGAATTTAAAAAGCAATGAAGGCCAGGCCCCCAGGTAACAATGACCCCTCCCCTCTCCCCTGCTCTGCTGTCCCCCAACCCCATTCTCTAGCAAGGTGTCTCACCTGCTGGGCTATAAGCACTGAACTCTTGGGGCCAAGGCGCAGCAGCTTCTCTGGGGAGGGGAAGGCCAGGAAAGTGGAGACATCAGTGGGTGTCGGGGAGGACAGTGACGGGGTGGGCTCCTGAAACAGGTGACACACGAGTGGGCTGGGCTGGTGGGGGCACCCAGAAGGTCCCAACCTCAGCACATTGGGCGTGTTGCCCCGTTCTGCTTCCGGGACACTGGCCCCCACCCCACACACTCTGGCTAGGCCTGGACCAGAACTATCCACCTACTCAGCACCATTCCTCTAGGAGGGGCCTCCACACAGATCCTTGCCTGGCCATGCAAGGCCCAGAAATAACTCAGGAGAGGCCACCAGTCGCTGGAGTCCAACCTGGGTCAGAGCTGCAAAAGGAAGGGACCCCACCTGCCACCATTCACCATCACGCTGCTTCCATCACCCCAAAGAGCACCCAGGTCCACAGGGGCATAGTGTCCTGGCTGCCCTGAAGCTCCCCGGAGCTTCATCAAGAATTGGGAGGGTACATGAATGAATGATAGGGGTGGCAGTGAGATGCCACAGGGCCTGGCAAGGGACACCAAGCGTGTGCCATGATCCCAGCCACAATCTCCAGGGTGCAAGGCCGTTCCTGAAGGCCACCAGGATAATTCACAGTGGGTGAAAAGAAGTATCAGCCTCTTATACCTACACTCAAACAAACAGTGTGCAGGGCCAGCATGGTGGTGCATGCCTGTCATCCCAGCTCCTCAGGAGCCGGAAGCAGGAGGATTCCAGAGTTTAGGCCAGCCTGGACTCTACAGCAAGACCCGAAAAACCTAAATAATAACACCTTCCAGAATTTCAGCTCTGATCCCAGCAGCCACGGGGACTCACCCCAGTGCTAGAGCTCAGAATCTTCCTCGAGGGTGTAACTGGCTCTGCCCCTTGTCTCTGTGGCCGCTCCTCCTCTTCATCCTCCTCCTCCTCTTCCTCTTCTTCCTCCTCTTCCTCATCATCCTCTTCTCCTTCCTCCTCATCTTCGTCCTCATCCTCATCCTCACCCTCATCGTCACTGCAGAGAGGAGCTGGCTAAGGGAGGGCCTCCATGCCCTTAGCCTGGCCTGTGAGAGGAGATCAGGGCGGCCCTGCTCGCAGGGCGGGACCCCGCCACGGGAGGAGGAAGCCAGTTCCCTTGCACCCAAGCCTCTGCGGCCACTGGGCCACCCTAACATTGTAACTGTCTGCTATGCATACAAGAACACCCAGAAGGGACGTGGCCGGGGTATGGCTGCCGCGAACTGGCTGTGATGAGGCCTCCTGCTCCCTGCTCCCCACCCGGCGTCCTCTGCAGCAAATGCTGGGGTCCCTTCGTACTGAGCTACATCGCCAGCCCTGTTTTACTTGCTGAGACAGTCTCGCTAATTCCCAGCTGGAGAATTCACGGCCCTCCTGCCTCAGACTCCTGGAGTACTAAAACGTAGGTATGCACCACCACATCCAGATTCTCTCGTGCCAACTGCTTCCTTTCTAGTCAGTTTCGGGAATGCCACCAAGCCTGTTCCCGTGAGGTGCCCCACATCCCAGCCCGCAACTCCTGCAGCCTCCTGCTCCCCGAATTTGCTGTGCAGCCACACCAGCCTCCAGACTCGCCCTGCGCAGAAGATGCCATACTCAGCACCCCGCAGGTCCCTGAGAGGAGCAGAGAACAGCTTTGTCACCCTGCCTCCTCTCTGCCACTCGGAAACCTCGGTGTCTCACTCTTTGCCCCTGGTACCAGCACAGAGCCTGGCACATGCAGGCGCCCAGTGACAGCTTCTGGGTGAGCGCACTGAAGAGGAAGTGCTGCCCACCTGCACCCTACCTGAGGGACGCCAGCACCTTGGCCATGTTGAAGCTGTCCAGCACCTCCTGGAGCTGCTCGCAGCCCTCCTCGCCTAGGGCGTTCCCTGCTCAGGGGAAATCGGCATGAGAACGGTGCAGAGCCCAGCACCAGGGCTGTGCTGAGGGCCCCCTTGGCCCCATTACCATTAAGGTCCAGCTTTTCCAGACCGGCCTTATCAGCCACGGCCTCTGCCACAGCCAGGGCAGCGTCTCGCTTGATTTCACAAAATGACAGGTTCAGCTCCTAGAAGAAGAGGAAAGTGGCAGGCAGTTACTGAGGGCCCAGATCCTGCACCCCTAGAGCTCAGCTCCCCTGGAGGCACAGGGGCCAGAAGCCAAACACTCATGATGAAGGGATGCTGGCACCCAGCGCCGGGGCTGCTCCCTCCCGTGAAGACACTGTGGCTCAGAGAGATACCAGGACTGGTCAAGTTTAAGGGGCTGGGCTCCCCCTTACCCCCCATGAGTGGGACCCCAAGGACCAGAGCACAGCTTCACCTTGAGCTTGGGCAAACCCCCGCGCACAGCATCCGCGATGGCCACAGCCCCCTTGGAGCGCACCAGGCAGTCCCCGAAGTTGATCACTTCCACCTGCCGCAAGGTCTTCAGGGTCTACAAGGAAGGAAGCAGTTGCAAGGTGAGGGCGCAGGCCACAACTCCACCACCCTACTGCCTAATGTTATAGCAGAACATCTGAAGTGCATGTCTATGAGCGCACTCTACCCGCGGCAACCCTCCATGGCTCCCTGTTACTTACAGGACAGAGCCTCGTGGAACCAGCAAGGCTTTGAGGCCTTGCTCCCCTCCCCTCCTTCAGCCCTCCTGCACCCTCAGTCATTTCAAAACAGGACCCAGGGAGCAAGGCTCCCTCCCCGCCTCGGCCTTCCACACCCTGTGACCCTTCTGCCCAAACACTCATCCCACTCTCTGTCCACTAGCCCTGCACAACTCAGTCAGCAGCCCAGCTCCTTCAGGAAGCTGGCCTGGTGCCACCAGAGCTTGTCCTGTGCACTCTCCCACACTTGTCTGGTGACACCTACAGCAGCAGTGCCAGCCTTCTGGGGGACCAAGGGGTCCTTGCCACCCAGAGCCCTGTCCCATACTGCTTGGTGGCCCCCTTCACTCTGCAAGGAGGGACCCACAGGGCCTGCATCTGCTACAACCCAGGTACCACACAGGGACTCAGTGAACAGCTGCCTAATCAATCAATGCAGGAAGACAGGACAGGCAGTCTTGTCCTCTTGGCCTGAGGACGGAATGGTCCCAGCGCCAGAGGCAGACGAGGCTGCTCGGGACTCAGGCAGCAGGCAGTCTCCCTGTGACCCATGGCCCTGTCCCTAGGGGTACACACAGCAAGATGGGGTGAGGAGAGCAGCCCCTGCTGGCAACAGAGGCACAGGCAGACCCTCACTACCCAGCCCCTACTGCCCCCCACTCCGCCCTGCCACACCTGCCGCTTACCTCGGCCATGGCCACCGCACCCTTCTCAGTGAAGGTGTTGTCATTCAGGTTGATGACCCGCAGCAGGGGGTTGATAGCAAAGGCTTGTGCCAGGGCCGTGACACCAGGGTGGTTGATACCATTCTGTGGCATGTGCACCTCCTGCAGTGTCCCGATGACCTACAAGGACGAGTGGACAGTGCAGAGTGGACCCCGGGCCAGTGACACCAGTAGGGGCTCAAGGCACACATCTCAAAGCACCTTTTTCTTTTTTAATACCGGGAATCAAACTCACAACCTTGTGCTTGCCAGGCAGGCACTGTGCCACTAACCTAAATCCCCATCCCAGAAAGCACCCGTCTGGCACAGCTGTGCCTGATCCTCCATATGGTAATGAGATTGACCCACCTAAATTAGAAGCTCCCGACAGGGCTGGGGATTTAGCTCAGTGGCATAAGCGCCTGCCTTGCAAGCAGGCAGTCGTGAGTTCGATCCCTGGCACCGATAAAAATGAGAAAGACCAAAAAAAAAAAAAAAAAAAGAAGCCCCCAACAGAGGAGTAGGGACCAGAGAGGTTAAGTGATTAGCTGGGGTCACACAGCTCTGGAGCACGACACTCAATTCTCAGTAAATCTCCAAATGTATGCTACAGTACCATAGATACCTGTTTCCTTTGTATTAAGGATTGAACACAGACCTTTGCATTGAGTGACATCCCCAGTCCTCTTTTTATTCTCTATTTTGAAACAGGATCTCACTAAAGCACTAAGTTGCCTAGGATGGGTTCAAATTTGTGATCCTCCTGCCTCAGCTATCAGAGTGCTGAGATCACAGGACCAGCGACGATGCCTAGTCCGTGATACTCATGAGTAACAAGATGTGAGGGTTTACTATCACAGCAACTGTTATATAGTTTTGTTTTTTGTTTGGTACCAGGAATAAAGCCCAGGGCCTTGCACTTGCCAAGCAAGTGCTGAACTCAAGCAACCTCCCCAGCAACTTTTATATAGTATTAACCTATTTATTTGTCTCTAACATTAGTGATGGAGTCTCACTCTGTTGCCCAGGCTGGCCCTAAACCCATGGGTGGAAGCGACCTTCCCGGCTCAGGGTCCCACATAGCTGGGACTACAGGCGAGTACCACTGGACCTGGACAAGTTTGAGGCCACAGTGGGGGGGCTCAGCAAGATCCTATTTCAAAATTCAAAAACAAAGGCTGGGGTGTAACCCAGTGACACAGTATCCCTGGGTTCAATCCTCTGTAAGACAAAAAAAAAAGTGCAGTGTTACTTTCTAACTGCTAAAATTCACTATACTGCAAATAATGTCCCAGCTACTTTTTGCCCCATTGAGTTCAAGCGTTATAAGTAGCTTTGTAAAATGTCACATAACCCTTGAGACATTGGTCTCTTAAGTAGTCTGTGTCTTCCATAAACTGCACATCATGGTAAGAAGTGATCCCTCCTGGTCCTCTTTGGTTTTGCACCATGTTTGAGACACGTAACACAAAACGTGGGCGTGGCTGTAGCTTGGTGATGAGGTGCATGTTTAGCATGCCTGAGGCCCTGGGCTCTACCCCCAGTCCCAAACTCTCCCTAAAACAGACACAAGATGTGTGTCTACCGGCTGTTTATGTTATGGATAACCTCAGGCTACTAATAAAATATTTGGGAGTCAAATGTTATGCTCAGGAGCTAGGGGTGTGTGCGGCTCTGTGGGCTTCTGAGTGTGCAGGGGATCAGAGCCCCTAAATGCCACTGTTCCCAGGTCACCTGTAGTGTTCAGCTATGCTGAGATGCCAATGACATGATTTTCTTGCTCTGTGTTCAGAGACCCCTGCACTCTCCCCACACTGGCTTAAGAACCCTATTCTGAGCATAGCAGAGACCAACGGAAGGGCAGCAGCCAGCCCTGGAAGAGGCAGGTTGGCCTCTGAGAAAGGGGTCCAGCTAGTCAGAGGCAGGAAGTGTCTTTAGATGCAGCCCAACACACTGGCCACTACTGTGGCAGGCCTGCAGGACACTGCTACGTTGGATAATGTTCCCATGAAGAGGCTCGGGGAGGCAGTTCAGTGGTAGTGTGCCTGCCTGGCACGCATGAGGCCCTGGGTTCAACCCCCAGCACCACAAAACAAAAACTCAAAAAGCAAAACAGGACAGAACACAAGGTTCCCACTCCTGTGGGAGGCAAGCGTGGCCCTGAACAGGGTTCACCATCAGAGCCTTGGGAAGAGGAGAAAACGGAGGTAGCTGGGGAGGAGGCCCAGTCCTGGGGTCTCCCACTTGTGTCCCTGTCAGGCAGGCATGTCACGTTTAGCTTCCACTGCCCTCGATACTGCTGGGACAAGTGATGCTCAGACCAGGAGCCTGACCTGCCCAAGGCCAACAGCACATAGAACTGCTGCCACCCATCAAGGTGGCAGGATAGGGACATTTTGAGACGAGCAGGAAGTGGCCCACTGTGCCCACTGGGCAGGATGGGAAGAAAACACTCACCCCAAACGCTTCTGCCAAGGCAGTGGCTCCGTCATTCTCCAGCCGGTTCCTGCCGGCCACAAAGACCTTCAGGGCCAGTGGCTTGCCTTGGGCACTGGACTTGCGGTGACACTCGGTCAGAGCGGCTGCCAGGATCTGTGGGGAGAGGCAAGGCACACCTCACTAATGCACACACTCACCCCACAGGCTGGGCTCCATCTCCTGGACTCAAGTGATCCTCTGGTTTCCGCCACTGGGACACAGGTGCATGCCCCACGCCATGCTCAGAAACTGTCTATGGTCAGTGCTAGGGTTTGTGTCCAGACGCCTCCTGCGGCAAGGGGGCGGGCCTTTCGAAGGCAGCTGCATCTACAGAGCTTGTGATTGGTTCATTGTCTAGTGCTGGGATTGGTGTTTAAGTGCCGTACCTGCCCTGAGGCATGTGGCCTGCACACAATATAAGGGAGGGAAAGAGGCCGCCCCTCCCTTTTGTTCTGGTTGCTTTTTGCCTCTGTTTTTGGCTTTGAGCTAACCTCACCACCAGCCTTGGAGCCAGCTGATTATGGACCGAAATTTCCATAAACTGTGAGCATAATAAATCTTTCTTTCCTTAATTTTGGGCATCAGTTATTTGTCTCAGCAATAAAACAAAAGTAATCAGGACATTCAGTAAGCAACTGACAGAATCTGGAACCAGAACTCAAACCTAGATGGTGTTTGGGGAAGCCAGTGGGTCAGGACCACAGGCCAGCCACACCATCTGACAAAGCCCTCACCAGGGCTAGTTGGGCACAGCAGGGTGACACCTGCTGAGACACAAACCTAAAACCCGGCTTGCCCTGTCTTTAATATGGAGCCAGGCAGCAGCTTCTGTCCTGGCAGTACTAAGAAGTAAAGTGTAAGTGCTAATTAGCAGCTGGGCGTGGTAGAGCACACCTGTGATCTCAGGACTCGGGGGCTGAGGCACGGGGAATCAGAGTTCAAGCTCAGCCTGGGCTACACAGTGAATTCAAGGACTAGACTACAGAGTGAGACCCTGACTCAAACAATAAATTAAAAAAATAATTTGAGCCAGGCATGGTGCCTCACACCTGTAATCCCAGCACTTGGGAGGCTGAGGCAGGAGTATCTTCCGCAAGTTCGAGACCAGCCTGGGCTGCAAAGTGAGTCCAAGGCCAGCCTGAACTGCATAGTGAGACCCTGTCTCAAAAAGATAAAATAAAATAAAATAAAATAAAATCTCACAGACCTGTCAGAAAGTGAATCATCCCTTTGTACAGAATATCCCACCAGGCAGACACTGCATGCCTTTAGTATCACTGGCTAACTACCTGGTTACCAGATCAACTACTGTGTATCATAGCAACTGTGTTCAAGTGACCTTCATTTTATGTAATAATGGCTTCAAAGCCCAAGAGGCTAGGTGTGGTAATGCACACCTGTAATCCAGCACTTGGGAGGCTGAAGCAAGAGGAATGCTGGGAGTTCAAGGTTACTCTGGGCTACATAGTGAGGTTAAAAAAAAAAAAAGACCCAACAGGAGTCCTGCTGGCCATTTGGACCAAACAAAAGCTGTGCACTGTCCCTATAAATGAAAAGCTGACAGCTCTTGACTAAAAGAAGAAAAACACTAATCTGCTGAGGGTGTTAAGATCTGCAGTACACACACAGATTTGGAGACCATATTCACGTAACTTTTCCTATAGTACATTGGAATAACTTGTATTTCTGTTGTTATTCTCTAATTTGTAAGTTAAATTGTATCATTGGCACATATAGGGAAAACCAGTATGTTTAGGCTTGGAACCATCTACGACTTAAGGCACCCAGGGAGGTCTTGCAATGCAGCCAGTGGATCGGGAAAGACTACAGTCCAGAGCAAGTCCCAGGGCACAGCTGGTCCACCAGGAGGTCCTGGGCCACAGGTTCAAAGCTCTCTGCTTGTGCCAGGGATAGAACTCAGTGGCACAATGACTGCCTGGCAAGTGCAGGGTCCTGAGCTGAGATTCTTATACCAAAAAAATAGAAAACCTAGGAATGCTGGGAGTTCAAGGTCACTCTGGGCTACATACAATAGAAATCCCGACATCATCCCGCCTACCATGAGTGTGCACACACCATGTGGGCGCTCTGGGAGGCCTGTGCAGGGTGAGGTGACACCCCTCACTCTGAGTTGGCTCTACCTGCTCTGTATGGATGCCAACATCCTCACAGCATAGTACACAGTGCCCAGCTGGACTTGAGGGAGGGCATGTGGGACAGACTCGGAGAGTCCTGTCCTTCCTGTGGGGAAGGGGGTGGCAGGTCCCCTCTTTGAGGGAGACCACTCTGGCTCCTCAGCCTGGACCACTGTGAACCCCATCTCACTTCCCTGCTCTGGACAGAGTCATGTGGATGAACTCAGATCCAATGCCCACCTCGCATGATGCCTGCGGCCCCATCTCTCCAAGCCCAAGTTTACTCGTGTAGAGAAACAGGGACTTACCTTTTGGGCTGAGGCAGGGAACGTCTGCACAAAGATGTCCCCAGCCTTGCCCCTTAGTTAGCGTGTGTGGGGGAGGGTCAGCTGGTACTCAGCTCTCAGCTCTGGGATGGATGGAGCCCAGGGGACAAGCACAGAACAAAAAGGCCAACCCTCAATGCTATGCTGGGAAGCAAATGAGCTCTGCTTTCCTGGAAGCAGTAGCACCTGGGCCACTGGGACACAAGGTGACAGAGATTGCCCTTTGTAGCAGCACGCTTTTTTTTTGGTCTTTTTCCTTTTTATCAGTACTGGGAATCGAACTCACGACCGCCTGCTTCCAAGGCAGGCACTTATGCCGCTGAGCTAAATCCCCAGCCACAGCAGCACGCTTCTTTCTGGGTTCCTTCCTAGCCCTGGTTCTACCAGCTGTTCCGAGTGACAGTGGGTACAAGAATGCCCCAAGCCTGTGTTGTGCAGAGCCAGCAGATCAGAGTAGGGTACACAGCAGTGCTGCCTCTCTGTTGCCAGGCAACATGAGAACTTGGGATGGTTGCTTGGCAACCCTGCCCATCTAGACTCCTCTCCCCACTGGCCGAAGGCTGCTGCCTTTGAGATCTCTCTCCTCTAAAGTGAAAAGACACCCTGGGGCTGACCAGGGGCTAGGGTACACTCTGCTGGATTTGGACGCAGGAGGGACCACTGGGTCCCACACTCACCTTGCCACCACCGATGCCCATGCCACAGTTGTTGAGCTTGAGCTCATGCAGGGTGAAGCACGCTGGGCTCTTGAGCAGAGCCTCGAAGCCTCTGACGCCATCAGGCCCAAATGCATTGTCACTCAGGTCCAGCTCCACCAGCTGTGCCCCAGCAGTGATGAGCCCTTCCCCTAGTGAGATCTGGGTGGACAGGGAGCTCAGGTCAGTTTTACAGACACCCAGCTTGAGGCTGCTTCTATGACAGGGCCAGGCTGCCCTTGAGGGACACCCAAGCCACCCACACGGCACTAAGCTTCCTACTATGTGGCCACACTGGAAACTCCACAGAGGTATCCTAACTGGTACATGGGACAGGGGACAGGAGCTGGAGGGCTCTCAGTAGGAGGTGGCATATGAGCCACAGCAGCCAGTCAATGAGAGGGCAGCAGTAAAAACAGGCACCAGGAGACAAGCATGAAGCAGCAGCCTGTGTCAGGAGGCAGGTGAGGGGTCACACAGGGCCAAGAACCTGAGAGGACAGGCTCTGCGGCAGGGTGGGCTAAGGAGGAAGTGAGGGACAGACAGTGGGAGCAGGAGGCCATGTGCCCACCGGGAGCTGGGGCAGCAATACAGGCAACAGCAGGGCCCAGCTAGCGCGGCAGGAAGTGGATGGGAGGGAGGTGACCGTGTCCACAGGAGGCCTGCAAAGCTAGAGGCTCCCTAGCTGTGGCATGAGGCAGGGAGGTCCCACAAATGCCTCCAGGGTTCTGAGCGTCTCTCAGGTGGCGGTGGCAGGAGGCGGAGCTCTCTGGGAACCTGCAGGCCTGGGGATACCTATGGTCCCCAGAGAAATGGTGAGGAGAAGCAGCTCTGTCAGAGACAGGAGTGGGGAGGGCAGAAACAGGGCTGGGAAGGCGGCTTATGGTAGCTGAAGGCAGAAGAATGTTCTGCTCTGGCCCAGACACAGGCCCAGATCACGGGGGTGCAGCTTAGGTCGTGCCCCACGTCCTTCTGCCATTCAGTTCCCAATGGCAGGACGGGGCTCACCCCCTTGGAAGGCCTGGCCCCGTGACCTCCACCTGCAGCCGGAGCAGCTGCTCACTCTATGTAGTTCCTTCCCACATCGTGCCACTCCCTGCCACAAGCCCTCTCATCCTCCACCTGCACTTCCTCCCCACTGGGAATGCAGAGCTAAGAACACCTCCACAAGGCTGAGCGATGCAAGCTAAAACTCAAACACCAAGCAGGTAACAACCCCAGCAAGTCTCCCCTCAGCCCCTCTCTACCCTATCAGAATTCAGCTGACCAGAGCTCAGAACCCCAGCCCCATCACAGAGGCCCCTCCAGTGCCATTAAAGGCCCTGTCCTGTCACCCTACAGGACTCCAGGGGCTCTGAACAGAGGCTCTTTAGAAGGGAGAGGGATGCAAGGCATCTCTGGAATCCCAGTTTTGGCTTCAGGAATGGAGGCCAGAGGAGGAGGCCACGGCAGGCCCAGGTGGGCAGCTCCCCAGGGCCGGTGGGCCTGGTTCTGCTGTGTCCCGCCCTCCCTGGTGGGGACCCAGGCTGCGCTTCAGCTCTCAGTCAGGTGTGGGGCTTATCTTAGGCTCTGCAAGGAGAATGTGAGAAAGTTGGGGGCAGCCGCAGGGGACCCTGCAGCAGGGGACGCACATTCGTCCCCTATCCTTACCAGCGCCGGTGGGATCTCAGACCGCAGGCGACCCGTGAACATGTCACTCCAGTGGCATCGCTGAGCAGAAGAAAAAACAAACACTTAGCCAGAGACTGTGACAAGCCTCACCTGACCCTGTGGCGTGGGTGATCTGGGCATTACAAAGCTTTTTTTGGTGGTATTAGGGATAGAACAGAGTCTTGCACAAGCTAGTCAAGTGTTCTGCTACTGAGCTACACCCCTAGCCCCACCTGCTTTCACTTCATGTTTTGCAGTATTGGGGATTGAGCCCTCACATCCCTGCCGCTTTCAGAGGCACAGTCTTGCTAAGCGGTCTAGGTTAGGCTCAAATTTGTTATCCCCCTGACTCGGCCTCCTGGAGTGCTGAGATTACAGATGTGCTCCACCACACCTGGCTTCATCCCACCCTTTTTTACAAACAGCATATAGCGATGTTACCAGAGATAGTCTCAAATCCATCACCCTTTGGCCTTAGCCTCCCTAGTAGCTAGCATGATCAGCATGTGTGACCAAGCCCGACTGCTTTTTTTTTTTTTTTTTTGGTACCAGGGCTGAACTAAATCCCTACCCTGTAAGACTTTTGTTTTTTGGGGTTTTTTTGTCTTTTTCATTTTTATTGGTACCAGGGATGGAACTCACGACTGCCTGCTTGCAAAGCAGGTGCTTATGCTGCTGAGCCAAATCCCCAGCCCCTCCTGCAAGACTTCTTAATGTGGGCTTTGTCAGTAAAAGGCTGGAGCGGCTCTGCCCGAAGTCAGTGAAGCCTGGAGGCCTGTCCTCCAAGCGAGTAGGCCTAGAGGGCTGTGAAGGACTCAGAAGCTTAGGGAACCTTTCTGACCTGTCCGACCCTCTCACAAGACACGTGACATGGTTCTGGGTGACAGAGGAACAAAAAGATAAACGACATAGGACTTCCCAGCAAGGAAGTCCCTCTTTTTCCACTGCTCTGAGTGCCTCCAGGGACTGCCTCCTTGGGGTGTGGGGCTCAGACCCAGAGCCTTTAGGGAGCAACAGCATCAACTCGGAACAAACTTTATTCTTTTATTGTAATCCATACTGGTTTTCTATTTACAAAAGTGCTGCTCTGAAATTACATACAAGTTAGCTAACTTAGTGAGAAATATTAGGTACGAGTCACAAAGGTGGCAGTCATATAAGTTTGCTGTGACAGCCCTATCCCCAGCCCTGATGGCTATGTCTACTTTCAAAATAAAACCGTGGCAACTCCAGCCATCTCTGGGCCATATGTGGAGCTGATGAGACACAGAGAAAGCCAATTTCCCCTTAAATTCTGTACTAGGGAAGCTGGCTTTTGGAGAAAATGCTCACATCTGCCCATAAAGTCAGTTATTCACACCCTAGGGCCTTAGCTGGACACCTAGTGAAGCCAGGCCTACATAGGAGGTGACGCCACACACAGGTCCTTAGGGATGGGGATGCAGAGCAGAGCCCAAGTGTGATAAGCTGAAGAGTAGGCCTGCGGATCTGGGGCAAGAGGCCTCGGTTCTGATCTCCACCCCGCTGGCTCCAGGTAGTCCCTTCTCTGCTCTGTGGAACCCCCTCTCTGAAACAAGGCTTTAGGCCTCAGCGATCTCAGCCTCCCATGAACTCCATCCAGCCTGCTCCTCCTGTGTGACCCTGGCTTGTACTGCTGTCAACCATTAAAACCTCCAGGGGAGAAAACGTCATAAACCTACATCAGCCCACACCTGAATACTGCAGGCCGTCAAACACAGCTCACATCTGTGTGGGCTTCTTCCAGCTCGAGACAGGCCTGGGTCGATGCCAGCTGACAAGTGTGTGGAACCGCCTGAGCAGGGGGAAGAGCCCCACCTCCCACAGGAGCCCAGCCTCAGAGCCAAACAAAGCGGAGGTGCTGGGGTTGGAACCAGCCCCGTGGGCGACGTGTAAAATGGAATGACAGCCCGGTATTCTACCCAGGCTGCTGCAATGATTGAAGAACAAGCAGAGAAGGGCCCAGAACAGGCTCAGCCTTGGACACACTAAGGAACATGACTCCAGTCTGGAAAACTGGGCTCTCTCCCTCAGGACCCTTTGGGCTGCGACAGGCAAATGCTCACTGGGATTCTGGGGAAAGAGCACAGTGACGACTCTGCCATTCTGAACAGGACACCCCCACCTTCCTCACAGAGCACACTGGCAAACTGGGATGCAGTGGAACCCACTTTGAGAACACTGGATAAAAGAATCCAAACTGGAAAGGATCACAAGCTTGAGTTCCACCTGGACAACTCAGCAAGACCCTGTTTCAAAATAAAAAATAAAAAGGGCTGGGGATGTCACTCAGTGGTACAGCCCCAGCTTTGATCCCCAGTTCTGCCTAAGGGAAACGGATCCCAAGCAGTTCTTGGGGTTGGCCAAGGAGGCAGCGCCTAGATTTAACCCGCAGGAAAGCCCCTGCCTTGGCTGAGAGGAGCAGCTGGCTGGGCCCGGCTACAGCCCTCTTAGTTCGCCGCAGCACTGGAGCCCAGGCCTGGCTATTCTGGCCCAGAACGCCGCCCAGGGCGTGTCAGAAGGGTTGCAGAAGCCTGTGTGTGACTAATTCTGCAGCCTTCCCTTCTCAGAGGCACCACATCTGTACTGGGAGTTTCATCATCACAGGTGTCACCCAGCCCACTTCCTGCGCTCCCAATTGCATTCGGGTCTGCTCACTGCGGCGAAGAACTTGGTGCTGGTGCTCCATGTGGCCGCAGGAAGAGCAGCTGGGAGGGTGAAGTCACCAACGCAGGGTCTGGGAGGGCTGTGGCAGGCGGGGAAGCTGCTTACCCTGCAGACCTCACTCACCTTCAGCTCTGACTTCTTCTCTAAGGCCTTGGCGATGACACGGGCCGCTTCCACGCCCACTGTGTTGCCTTCCAAGCGCAGCGCCTCCAAGCCCTCAAAGTCTTCAATCTCTTTAATCACGTCTTTAGCTGCCCAGGATCGAAATCAGAATGCTGTTAGGCACTGAGAGTCATGGAGAGCTGGGGCTGGGGACAGCTTGGTAATCACTGTACCCACACACTCCAAGGGCTACTATGGCATACCTACCCTGTGCCAGCCCTGGCTTTCAGAGGACCAGACAGGCCAGCAGCCCCAGACAGGGAAACGAGAGGAAACAGCGGCTGCCTCCTGGGAGCAAAAACGACTTCACCAAGTGGGTGGTGGGTACAGGTCTCCAAGATGGGGCGCACACCAGACCAGGCAGGGAAAGGCACCAAAGCGGGGGCCAACAACACAACAGAGAGCAGCAGGTACAAGCACAGAAGGCCTGCATGCTCCTGTAGGCTGTGCGTTTGTTACTGTTTTCCTTTAATAATGAAAAATTCCAAACCCTGTAAATGTGCGTTAACAGAGGATGTACTTCCCCAGCACCACAAAAAAGGGGGGAAAAAAAAGAAAGAAAGAAAGAAAAAAGAGGAGACAGTCTAATCCACTGTGGGTCATGATAATTATGAGAAGTTAGGCTAGCCAAGCATGATGGCCTCATCTATAATGCCAGCACACTGGGAGGCCAAGACAGGATAGTAATAAATTCAACCCCAACCCAAGCAACTTAGTGACTTAGCAAGACCCTTTCTATTATTATTTTTTTAAAAAGCTGGGTATATAGCTCAGAGTGATGGCCCTGGATTCAATCCCTAGTACTTCAAGGGAAAAAAAATAGTCCAGTTCTTTGTTTGCACAAGGCCTTGGGCTCAATCCCCAGCAGCACCACCAAACAAACAAGAGTTCAGACCTTATCTCCCATATCCATCTCTGGTCTGCTTACCTCACTGCCCTACCCCATCCTCTGCCAGTCACACAGATTTTAGTTCATTAACTTTTGTTCAGATTATTGAATACAAATTGATTATGAAATACAGAAACTTTAAAAGCAGAAAAAAAAAAAAAATCACACAGCCCAAAGATCTAACTACGATTGACTTTGGTGCATTTTCTTTCTAGTGTAGTAGTTTGCTTTTCCCAAGCTTGCAATTTTCCTGTCTCAGCCTCCCAGAATGCTGGGATTACAGGTATGTGTCACTACTCCCAGCTGAACTTGACCTTCTGGTTTTGAGGATCAAAGAAGGAGCCTGAGAAAGGAGTCTGCCACCTATAAGGGGCTCCCTAAGATGCAGTCCAAGCAGGGGGCCTCCCCTACATGCATGCCTGCCTGCTCCTGGCCCTGCTCCGGCCTGCTACATTGCTTCCTCGGGGAAGCCGTGCCTAGCCTCCCAGCCATCTCAGTCTCCACACCACAGCATGCACAGACCGGACAATCTGAAGCCTGTTTAAGTGATCACCTGATTCTAACAGCACCTGCTTGTTAGGCCCACGCTCCTTGAGCAAAGGGACGCTTTCCACCTGTGCTCACCTCCATGTCCCCAAAGACAAGCCTTTGATGCCAACATGTGTGTTTTTTCCACCTCCCCTCAGAAGCTCATTACTATCATATCCACCCTAGAGCTCAGTAAGTGAACATCTGCTCAGGTCATCCAGCCACAAATGGTGACTGGCATTTATTTCCCATCTGGTTACAAGGAAGGCCAGACAGGGCGGAGCCTCTAACTTTCTAGAAGAGGCTATGGTTTCAAGGAAGGACTGGTCAGGAGTTCTGGGGCAATGGCAGGGCTAGGCTTCAAGATGGTTTCCAAAACAGCCTATGCACTCCTCCCCATGGGATCCCCACAGAGAAGCCTCTAAAAACCCACCCCACGCTTGCCCAGGTGACCATTCTTGGATCGGCAGGCCTCTATGGATTATTCCTCCTCTGTACTGATTCCCAGGGCAAATGCTGGGGTACCCTCCAGCAAGCCTCACTCCAAAAGGGCACCAAGTCTAACACCTGGGCACAGTTTCAAGATCTTATGGAACTGTTAGGAATGTAAGCGACCACACCCCAGCACAAGGACCCAAGCAGTCTCCGGCAGCGGTGCAGGTGGGGTGTTTAAGGCCACCTGCACATTGTGACAACCAGACAAGTCTAGACCAGTTGTCTGATTGGGCTTGAACCCCAAGAGGCTTCACCAGGACTGCCACAGGTATCTTCACCAGCCACCAGAGGACTCAGGGCTGGCCTGTGCTAATCAAGCCCTGGCCAGGGCTGGAAAGATGGTGCCTGCATCCTGGTTCATATCCAGGGGCCTCCCCACTCCTCCTCCAGGCATCCAGCTGCAGGGACCAGAACCTAGAAGCTTCCATGAAGACCCAGATTGTTTTAATGCAGCTCACCCAGGGCCTCAGCTCTGGGGAAGGGAGCATAGTCCAGGTCTCACCTGGGATCACAGGGTGAAGGCAGGGATGGGAAGAGCTGTACCCCAGGGCTGCCACTGGGTGCTCTTGTGGTCTCCCATCCCTCCTGAGAAATAAAGGAGCAGTGAGAAAAGGGTGCCCACTGCCAAAGCAGGGGAAATGCTCTACTGCTGGGCTACAGAGCTAGCCTTGCACAAATGGCCTTTAAGCCTCATTGTTAGAATAGTTCCAAACACATCTGAATTCCAGAGCTCCCAGGACAAATAATTAGAGACAAAGTTGCACAAAGAACCTGTAGCATCAGCTGGCTACATTATTCTCCCTATTCTCCCTCTCCTTCCCTGTACAACCAGTCCAGGAACTTACCATCCTCTGCAGTGTTCAGTTTGAGGCTCTTGCCCTTGAAACTCAGCTGTCCCCCGGCCACTTGGGTTTTGGCCAGGGTTTCTGCCAGCTTGGCAATGTCTTCAGAGGCCATGCTGGCCACAATCGTGGGCTGCCCTGGAGATCTGCAAACTGAGGAGACCAAAATCAGATTAAGAAAGGCATCTCCTGGGCCCCTGGCTGGGGAGGATCAGGGTAAGACGTTAGCTACCTTCGTTGTCCTCACCATGGAGAGCCCAAGAGCTAAAGCACGGGGAGAAATGAAAACAGCATAGTGGACAAACAGCTCTAGAAAGGCAGAGGAGGTAGCAAGAAAGTGAAGTCATCTTTAACCCCTGATAAGTTTCGGCTCACTGGAAGACCTCCTCTATCAAGCCAAACCCCTGGCCCAACTCCTGGGCCCCCTAGTGAGTGGGAGGCCAAGTCCCAGGCCAGTGGCTCCAATGAGTCTGCCCCAAGCACACACCTGCCTGATCATCTGGGCAGCTCTCTGTTTGAGGGCCCCATTCCTCAAACAGGACAGAGATGGCTAAGGGATCCAGGCCATCCATCCCAGGGGCTGCCCCGCTGCCCCCGATGGCATGACTCTGGGGCTGGGGTCCAGGGCTTTGCCCACTGCACATCTGGTATTAACCCAAGAGATGGCAGGCCATGTTGGCCCCTAGGGGTTCCTAGGAGACCAGAATATCTACATCACAACAGCCACCATCACAATAGGCCAGGGTATGGAAAAACAAACTCAATTTTCTCACTACACCTCATAACACACTTCTGATGGCAGATGTACACAAGTTCCTCCTTGTGTACCAAGCAATTCATTCCACGATGAACATTACTGATGTCTGCTAATTCAATACTGACTCTAACACTATCTACCTGGACAGTGTGAGATCCCACAGATTGAGGACAGAGTCCATAAAATTGAGCCCCACTTCCAAAGCTAATGCAAGCCTCAGGTTGGTTTATCTGCACATCTGATCAAATGGTTATAAACTCTACCCTCCTTGGGTTCAGTCTGCTGCTTAGCTCAGGGAATTCAGGGAAACATACTATTACAGATAGGGTATTTTAAAGGATACAAATGAACAGCTGGATAAAAAGATACATAGGGTAAAGGACAGGAGGAAAGGCTGAGAGCTTCCACCCACTGGCTCGACCTGCAATCTCCAAGAACCTACTCACTCTGCTGACACTCTCCAGTTTCTTGCCTTTTGGGGTTTTAGGGAGGATTCCTTAGGTAGGTATGGTTGGTTAAATCAACGGCTACTAGTGATCAACTTAACCTTCAGCGTCTTTCCAGAGTTTGGAGTACAAGGGCTCAATGCTGCATAAGTCTTTTTGGTGACCAGTCCCCATCCTGAAGCCACCTAAAGGCTGCCCACCAGCAACCAATTCATTAGCATACAAGAAAGACACATCACTTTAGGGTGTTCAATGCCAGGAAGCTGTTGACAACATTGTACAGTGATACCTTGGGTGACTGTACAACAGCTCTAAGTCCATTGTTTTTTTGGTTGAGGTAGGGTCTATTTAGTTTAGGCTGCCCTCAAACTTAACAGCTATCCTCCTGTCTCAGCCTCCCCAGTACTGGGATTACAGATGTGCACCACCCCGGCCAACATGAGCTTTCTACAGGTGGAACAGTAAAGTCTGAAAAAAATCTGCTCAGTGTTCTGCTTTGCTCAATAGTGAACTGAAAATCCAACTTGAAAAAATCTGTACAGGGTGAGAGTGAGTCACATGTCACATTACTCCAAGGACAAAGCGGGACAAAGGGTGATGTTTCAGCCTACACATGCCATGCCCAGATAACATATACTGCTGGTATTGGTGCACTAAACATTTGCCACTGTGTTTTTCTTTCCACACTTTATTTACATAAAGTGGGGCTGGGGATTTAGCTCAGCGGCATAAGCACCTGCCTTGCAAGCAGGCGGTCGTGAGTTCGACCCTTGGTACCGATAAAAATGAAAGACAAACAAAACAAAACAAAACAAAACAATACATAAAGTACTGTAACCAGGGCTCAAGGCTCAAAAAAAAAAATTAGTGATATCAGCAGTAAAGCTGAGAGGAAGCGCTAGAAGCTCAGTGACACAGGGCTTGCCTAGCATGCACAAGGCCCTGGCTCCAAAGCCTAATACCACAGGGAAAGAAAAGAAAAAAAGCTAACAGGAAAGCCATGAGAACCACAATAAAATTAAAGAAATCATTGTGAAATATGTTCAAGTCCTGGGGAAAAAAATGTATAAGTAATTATTGGATCTCAGAAGAAATTATTTGGTTTTCCATTACTTAAGGGAAATATATGTTTGGTTCTCAAATTTACGCCATGAATTTGGAACAAAGTGAGTTCAACACCCAAGGTGTCATTGTGTATGCTCCAACAATACTGCCGTTTACCTTCAGGAACAGAATAGACAAATCCACACCCCAAAAGAGGAAACCACAGACAATCAGGGAGACCAAGCAACACTGACACAGGGAAGAAAGATAATGGGTGCTACTGAACGGTGTCCTTGGAGTTGTGACAAGCCTTCATCCTCCTACATATCTCAGACTTTCTCTGGGCTCAAAGTGCCAGCTTCTCAACCCTTCTCCTATTCTTACTAATTATTGTCCTGGTTTGTCTATGCCTGCATGCCCTTACCAATAAGCCTGAATTCTTCTTCTGGGAAAGGCATCTGACATTTACTCAACAAAACATTTATTATACTGAGTATTACAATGTACTGGATATTATTCCAAGTACCTGGAGAACAGCTGGAAACGAAACAAAAATCCTGTCTTTAGTTTAACACCCTCCCAGCTGAGCTATCTTAGCCACTTAAAAATCCTATCTCCTTTTTGTTTTGGAGAAAGGGTCTCCCTATGTAGTTCAGGCCTGCTTTGAACTCCAAGTGTAGCCAACGCTGGCCTCAAACTTGAAGTGATTCTCCTGCCTCACCCTCCCAACTGCTATGATGACAGGCATGCACCACCATGCCCCACCTATGTTCTTGAAGTATATGCTCTAAACAAAGTATTTAGCCTGTCATGGCTGGGTATAATGGTAATATTTATTATCCCAAGATGCTGAGTCAGAAGAATTGAAAGTTCTATCCTACCATTGGCAACTTAGCAAAAATTCATTTTACAAAAGGGCTGGGGAAGCAAGGGCTTAGCTTAGTGGTGTATGCATCTGCCTGGCAAGTACAAGGTCTTGAATTCAAACTCCAGTACCAAAAAAGGGGTGGGGCTGTAGCTCAGTGTGATGGCCCTAAATATTTGATCCTCAGTACTGTATCACAGCCAAAAAAACCAATTATGTTAAAGTGCTATTTAAAAAGGAAAGAACATAAAAGAATGGCTTCGTGGGTTTTTTTTGTGGGGGGGAGATGTTACAATTTAAAGTAAAATAATTTGACAAACACCTGCGGGAAGTGCATGCCTAGAAAGGGAACAGAATACACACAGGCTTCTAGGGAAAGATGAGAATGGAGGAGGAGCAAAGAAGTCTGTGGAAAACCTAGAAAGAGAAGGAGAATGGAAGCAGAAGGGAAAAGAAAAAAACAAGGGGCTCCAGTCACACAAGCCATTTTGGGGCTGGGGATTTAGCTCAGTGGCTTAAGCACCTGCCTGGCAAGTGCAAGGCCTCCAGTTCCATCCCCGGTATCAAAAACAAAAACAAAAACAAAACACAAAAACCATTTAAAGAACCCTAGATTTTCACTTTCTCTGAGCCCCAAAGAGAGGTGCTGCAGGGTTCCTGGCAAGGACAAACATGCTCTGACCTGTGTCTTCACAGGATCACTAACCTGCCGCAGAGGGCCTGTCACTTAAAAGGTGCTCAAAGAATGCAGAATTAAAATGAATAAAAATTAACCTGGAACCAAATCACCTATTGGACTACCGAGATGGGACAAATTCGAGGCTAGAAAAAATGGTAATGGGGGTCCAGATGGAATAGGGTCAAAAATTTCCCAGTTCCATGAGGTGCGCGCGCGCACACACATGCACACACTCCCATTTACTTCAAAGACCTAAGCCAAAACAGAGATGAAGTGATTTGTTCAAAGTCAGCAAAGAGCCGGCGACAGGGCAAAAACAAACGATTAATACAGGAACATCTCCCTCTGGCCGGCCGCGTGGGACACGTCCTTCGGTGCAGATCTAGCGATCAGGGAGGCGTCAACAGTGACTCAAGCCTATCCCGGGGACAGCGGCGGGGCCCGCGGGGCCCCAGCAAGCGTGGGCCAAGATGGGAGAGAGAGGAGGCCGAGGCGGAGGCGGAGGCGGTGGTGGTGGCGGGGCCACGCGGGAACCCAGGCAGCGCAGGGCAGGAGCAGGGAGCCCCGCCCGGGTTCCCTGAAAACTCGCACCGCCTCCAGGTGACACCGACGCCTATGTTGAGACGCCACTGCTGGCAGCTCCGGGCAGGGCGACGTAGGCGCGTCAAACTTCCTCTGGAAGCCTCAGTTTCCCCACTTGTAAAAGGACCGAAGATCCTCCCAGCTCTCTGTTCTCCCGCGCGCGCCCCTCGCTCGGCCATCGAAGGGCGCGCGGGAGGAGTGGGGCACGCGACAGGGCCCAGCGGCGCCACATCTTCGCCACCTGTCCCAGCTGCTCCGCCCCGGCAGGTGACGGGGAGCGGACCGGGACCTCGGCCCTACCGTGAAAGGGGGCACCGTCGCGTGGGGCGATCCGAGCGCGCGCGTCAGCCGGGTTGGACGGACGCCGATCTCGGGTCAGGTCAGGTCCGGCCAGGTCGCCGCACCGGGTTCTGCGGTCCCAGTGCTCAGTCTGCCTGTCTGTCCGAGCTCCCAGGGTCCCTCGTCACCGCGTCACCTACACCACCTGCTCTCGGCAGAGCAGCGGATGATGGCGGAGGAGGAGGATTTTGAAAGCCGGCAGTTTCTTTCCTTTGATTTGATTTGTTCGAGCCCAAGCCGGCTCCTCTCGGGCAGGCGCGCGGGGCTCATCGGGTAAAGAAGTCCAGTTCTCCCGCGCACGCGCTACAGGGCGCGGCGAAGCGCGAGCTGCAAACTCCCAGTCCCATAGTGCATCGCGTCCGGAGCGCACCGCCCTCCTGTCCACCCGCTTGCTTGTTTTCTGGCTCTTTCTAGTGGACACAGCTGGGCGGTGCTTAGCCAGCGCGCCAGGAAACTACGACTCCCGATCGGTCTTGCGCCTGGGTGGCGACACCCTTCCGGAAGGATTTCCGTTCCTATTTCCAAAACTTTATTGACAGAAGTTGCTGTCGGAAGCTCGCTGTGGGATCGCTTTCTGCACAAAACAGGGATCCATTTCCTGAAAATATCCTCCCATACCCTATTGAAAGACTATATAAAGACTCCTACAGGTGAGCCGGGCGTGGTGGCTCACGCCTGTAACCCCAGCACTCGGAAGGCTGAGGTGGGAGGATCGTTGCGAGTTCGAGACCAGCCTGGGCAACAAAGTGAGCTCAAGGCTAGCCTGAACTGCATAGCGAGACCCCGTTTCAAAAAAGACAGAAAAAAAAAAACCTTCTACAGGAATAGCTGCAATTCATTTGATAAAAAATGAGAGGCGGGGCCAGGGAGTTAGCTTAGTGACTCAGGGGCCTGCCTGACAAGCGTGAGGTCCTGAGTTCGATCTCCAGTACCAACAACAACAACAAAAAAAAGACAAGGGCCAGATATTTAATTCTGTGGCAGCACCTGCCAGGCAAGTGTGAGGTCCTGAGTTCTAGTCCTAGTATCTCCACAAATAAAAAACAGTAACTATAGTAGACAAATTACAGACAACATTAATAACACCACCACAGAGTGACATTGTTCGCTGAAAAAGAAATAGAGTCATTCACGCAGGAATGCATTAAATCAGTCATGAAGAAATATAGGCAAAAAGCAATCTGAGGCACCTGCTCTTGAATAACGAAATCTACCTTTCCAGCAATGTCTGTGTAACCAAAAAAAAAACCAAAGAACTGAATACGAACTGGGTAGTAGCTCAGTGTTAGAAAGCTTGCTTAGCTTGTGCAAGGGCTTGGATTCCATCTCTCACTCCAAAACTAAAGATAAAAAGGCACCACAATGAAGTGCAATACATATCCCTGAATTGGATACTGCATGAAGGTATGGATGTTATAAAGGACAATATTGAAACAATTAGCAAAATTTGACTGCAAATTAGATGATAGATAGTATCAATGTTAAATTATGGCTGTGGTTATGTAACTGTAATACTGTAAGAAATATTTGTTCTTTTAGTCAGGCATCATGCATGCCTGTAGTCCCAGCACTCTGGAGACTGATGCAGGAGGATCTCATTTTTGACCCAGCCTGGGCAACTTAGTGATTTAGTCTGGTAATAAAAAATGGGCTCTAATAGCCGGGCGTGGTGGCTCATGCCTGTAATTCCAGCACTTGAGGCTGAGGCAGGAGGTTCGTTGTGAGTTCGAGACCAGCCTGGGCTACAAAGTGAGCTCAAGGCCAGCCTGAACGCATAGAGACCATGTTTCAAAAAGACAAAAAAAAAAAAAAAAAGGGCTCTGGCATAGACCTGTAATACTTGGGAGGCTGAGGCAGGAGGATTGTCTTGAGTTCAAAGCCATCCTGTGCTATATAGTGAGATCAAAGTCAGCCTGAACTACATAGAGACCCTGTCTCTAAATAAATTAATTAATTAATTAAATTTAAGGGCTGGAATGTAGGTCAGTGTGAAGACTCTGGGTTCAATCCCCAGTACTGGAAAAAAATTTGGTGTGTGGGGAAAAACATACACAGATCTGGGGATATAGCTCAGTGGCACAGTGCCTGTCTGACAAGCATGAGGTCCTGAGTTCAATTTCCAGTATTAAAAAAAAAGTCTTCTGTTGAATGAGAGGATAGGAAAAAAAAACTTGTTTTTTCCTCTGTATCCTCAGAATAAGAGGCTTCCCTTCTGCTTAGTAAAAAAAATGCTGAAAAAATTAGGGGTAAAGTATGTGCTATCTACAATTTACTCTCAAATGGCTTTTTAAATACATGTGTATAGAGAACTGGGGATTTAGCTCAGTTAGCTCAGTGCCATAAAAGCCTGGCAAGCACTAGGTTGTGAGTTCGATCCCTGGTACCAAAAAAAAAAAGAAAGAAAGAAAGAAATATATGTGTATATATTAAAAAAAATTGTAACAGGGTCTTGTGAAGTAATTTTTTTTTCTTGCTAAATAATTTAGGCTTGGGGCTGGGGATTTAGCTCAGTGGCATAAATGCCTGCCTTGCAAGCAGGCAGTCATGAGTTCGATCCCTCGTACCGATAAAAATGAAAAAGAAAAAAAAAAGAGTAGGAAAATTGGGCTGGGGATTTAGCTCAGCAGCATAAGTGCCTGCCTGGCAAGGTTGAGATTATGAATTTGATCTTATTGAGAGAGTAGGAAATTTTAATGCAACAACGGACTGGGGAATAGGAATGAGGAACAGAAGAAGCTCCTGAGAAATGAGAGGTCCTGAATGGGTTGCCCTGTACAAACAACATGTGTGAACTATAAATGCTTCAACCATGCCTGCCTGGCAAGTGTGAGGTCCTAAGTCTGATATTTGCAAAAAGACAAAAAAAAAAGAAGAAGAAGAAAGAAAGATATAAAGTACATAAATAAACAATTCCCCAACCCCTCAACTCTGAGATAATCTCAACCCAGAAATAATTGCTGCCAACGTATGTAGCCTTTGTTCTAAACCCGCTTTTCACAATTCACCCATACTTGCTGTTGGTTTGCGTGCAAATCTGGGTTAAACAGAGCATGCGCCAGATAATTGCATGCAGAACTAATGGAATCTGCGTGACCACAGAGGAAATGGGCCTCAGGCAGCCTTGTCTGCACAGAGAGGGGCACTGGCAGAAGGCATCTTCTCTGTCCACACAGCTCCTGAGAGCTGGTCCTCTGTGCATCCTCCCTCTCCTTTCCTGCCTACAAAGCCTGTGCCCAATGATACCTCTTTCAGGAGGCCTCAGTGATTATCCTTGCAACCAGTTAGTCTCGCCCCCTGAGAGGCCCACAGCAAGCTGCAAACTTCCACATCCCTTGGGCTGTAGCTCTAGGGCTTTTTCACAGAGCTGATGGCATTCTTGGTGACTCCCTCCTCAGCCTCTGAGGGTCTCCAGGACAGGAACTGCTTCTCTTTTTGTGATGTTTTCTGGGCATCTGGCTGGTCCTACTTGCTTCAAATTCCTCCTCCTCCTTCTTCTTCTTCTGTTTTTTTTTTTTTAAATCAGTACCAGGGATTGAACTCACAACCACGCACTTGCGCACTTGCAAGGCAGGCGCTTATGTCACTGAGCTAAATCCCCAGGTGTTTTTTTTTTTTTTTTTTAAAGATATTATCCTTGGGGCCAAGGACTTGGCTTAGCAGAATAAGCACTTGCCTGGCAAGCAAGAAGTTATGAGTTCGATCCCCAATACCAAAAAAAGAGAAGATATTATCCTCGCTTTTTTTTTTTTTTTTTTTTTTTTTTTTGTCTTTTTCCTTTTTATCGGTACGAGGGATCGAACTCACGACTGCCTGCTTTCAAGGCAGGCGCTTATGCCACTGAGCTAAATCACCAGCCCTTATCCTCACTTTTGGTAATCTGAATCCCAGGAAGGGTCAGCAAGTGTTTACTTAAAATGAATCATCACCTGAGTAGGCTGAGCTGCTCCTAATTGGGCCTGATGTTATTCCTGAACTGCCTGCTTCCCACTAGGACTCAGCAATTGTCTGAATTTTCATTAGGGATGATAATAAGCTCCCATATCCAGTGTTAGTTCTTTTTGTTTTGTTTTGGGTTTTTTTTTTGTCTTTTTCATTTTTATGGGTACTGGGGATCGAACTCACGACCGCCTGCTTGCAAGGCAGGTGCTTATGCTGCTGAGCTAAATCCCCAGCCCCTAAAAGAGGTTTTTCTTTTTCTTTTTTTTTTTTTTTTTTTAAAATCGATTTTTTTTTCCCCAAAACAAGGTCTCACTAGGCAAGTCACATTGCCCAGACTAAGAGTCAATTGAATTTAGGATCCTCCTACCTCAGCTTCCTAGGAGTACAAGCATGTGCCACCACACCCAACTCCTATGTTACTTTTTTTTTTCTTTCTTTCTTGTTTTTTTTTTTTTTTTTTTTTAATCCAGAATTGAACTCACAACCTTGTACTTGCCAGGCAGGCAGGCCCTGTGCCGCTCAGCTATATTCCCCAGCCTTCATGTTACTTCTTGAATCTTCTCTTAGTCCTCAGACAGAGACCTGCCAAAGGGAAGGAGAAGGATAGACAGTCTCCTTCACCTTGTTGATGGGATTTTTAGAACTGAAAGAGATACTTTCATCTTCTTTTTGTTTGTTTGTTTGTTTGGTTTTTTTTTTTGTCTTTTTCGTTTTTATCGGTACCAGGGATCAAACTCACGACCGCACACTTGCAAGGAAGGCACTTATGCCACTGAGCTAAATCCCCAGCCCCTACTTTCATCTTCTTATTCCTGAAGTTTTAGGGTAAAAGCTCCTGCGCTGGGTCACAGCAGATAAGGCCTGACCACTGTCTCATAACAGCAGCCAAGGAGAGGAACAGGGTGGAGGTCGGGAAAAGAGCGCTAATCAGCCTGGTACTTCTGGGAAAAAAGACAGAAGTTCAAGATCTGTCTTCTGGGGCAGACAGGAACATTGGGACTTTACCAGGACGGGAAATGAAGGCAGTGCTGGGAGGTTTGCATCGCCCGCAACATAGGTCAGCCAGACCAGCAGCATTGGTCGCCCTGGGACTGACTCCCGGCTCCAAAGAAGTCCTTGTGGCTTGAGTCCCAGGCCTGTTCCTGGGAAGTAACTGTTCCTCCTCAGGGTATGACCTCCTCTTGGGGTGATCTGTGAGGCTCTGCTTTTCCCAGAAATCAAGCAGA